GGTGACAGGACATTATCAATATATCTGATAGTGAAATTAAAGAAATTTGTTAGATAATATTCTTTTTGTCTTTGGGGATGTCTTGTATGAGTTCTGCTCTGTATGAGAGAAAACACATTACACAGAATAATATCCAAAAAAATTTAAAACACATATTCATGCATAAAATTTTATGTAGTTGCATAAACAACATTCGTTAACATGGAAAAACATCTCCACAAAAAACACCCTAAACATGCTAAACCGGAACTTTTTGGTTTTTTTTTCAGTTAGCAGTAGTAAGGAAAGCTCAACCATCACCAGCCGGTAATTTTTTTCTTCTTTAATGTTTGTAGGTACCTTTGAATTACTTCAAACTGATTTGAGATGTTAAATTGTACTTCTACATGTTCGTAGTTTTTTTTTTCATTTATGTGCTGCATTTGTAAAGATGATTCTCAAAGAATTAATAGAAAGAGAGATTAATCTCGTTAGTTTAACTTACAAATATTGTAATTCCATTCGTGTTTGTCTAGTGTTTTGTTTTTAGCTGACTTGCACAAAGGGCCAGTTTGAGTTATATATATAATTGTCGTCCGTCTTCATCATAAATCGTCAGTAAACTGATTAAACTAAATAAAAATAAGTAATGGTAAAAAAAATTAAGGAATCCTTGAAGTCATTTTTTGAAAAATTAGGGCAATAATAACCGCTGACTGATAGAGGGACAACAGATAGAAAGCAACTATTAAAGGCTGTTAGAGAGCTGAAAACAATAAAATAAAACAAGATCAAAGTAATAAATTCTTTTGTTTCTTTTATAATTTTAATATGATATCAACAATTTATTAACAATTTATAAATAGTTTTAGTTCTTGATATTCAAAAAAATTATAGACAATATTTTTATACGCAATTTCTGCAGAACCCTTGTAAAAGTCCAACAAGGTGTTCATAATATTTGCACAACCATTGAAAATAGTTGAAAAAAAAAGATATCTCGCCCTGCCTAAAATTCACATATATTCCATTGCGGGCTTCAATTTTCAATATGACACCGGTATTCTCCCTAGCAACATGTCTTACAAATGACAATTAAAAAAAACCATATCAAAATTATGAGTAAAACACTATAAAAAGGGACAAATAAAATATATATGCACCTCTATTGTAATTAAATTGATTCCGGAACTGTACATATAACGTTAAACCTTAATAACAAAAATTCACGATTTCACAGTAGTAAATAAAAATTTAGATGACAATTTATTTCTCATTTCTGAAAATAAATTCACTAATAAGCTCATGATATGCAAACAGAATAACTTTGAAAACTCCATAGTGACAAATAAGGGTTTAAACTTGCCATTTTTCACCAAAAGAGGCAGAATCCATGAAATATATTTTTCCAAAAGAATTTTATAAAAAAACACACAATTATTCAAAAGCAAAAATTAGATAAAACAATATATATTACAAGGCTATTGATAATTTTTGTCTCGCTTTCTGCGTACACTATTTGTATTAGGTTTTTTTTTAATTTCAGATGCTAGTAGACCTTGAGGCTTCATACTTAGTTTTTCAGATGCCTTCTGTTGCAAGGTTTTCATCTGTCAAATGTTCATTGTCTTTGACCTCAGTTCATGGTTCAGCGACTGCTTAAAAAAGTTTTATGTTTTTATGTGAATTTTCAACTTAGTATGAGTAATAGGATAACTATATCTTGTACATTGGTTCTTGTAATGTCTACATATCCGTCAGACAGCGGTCACTCCATTAGACCTCGACCTCATTTCATAGACCAGTACTGAAGGTTAAAGTTATACGATTAGGCCGGTTTCTCATATACTGTAAGCAGATGGTCAATTATATTTGGAGTATGGAATGATTGTAAGGTGTACATGTCTGTCTGGCAGGGTCAAATTTAACCCTAACCTAATTTTCATGGTTCATTGTGAAAAATGTTAAGTTTTCTTGTTTAATATAAAAAAAGAAGATGTGGTATGATTGCCAATGAGACAACTCTCCACTAAAGACCAAATGACACAGAAATTAACAACTATAGGTCACCGTACGGCCTTCAACAATGAGCAAAGTATGTTTATCTGATACTATAAGCAATAAGGTCAACTATATTTGATGTTTCAACGGTTCATTGGTCAATAATTAGTGTTCATGGATTGGTTTGTTTCTTGTATTCTATAAGCAATTGGTCAAATATATTTCGTGTATGTAATGATTTTAAGGTGAACATGTCTGTCTGGCTTGGTTTATCTGACCTTGACCTCATTTTTACGGATTATCCATGAAAATGAGGTCAAGTTCATTTGATACTTGTAGTAAACTGTATCTTTAGGACTATCAACATAAAAGTAATCATGAAAAGTATAGCAGGCCAGACATTTCAGCTTGTGCACACTTGTTAAAAATTTTTCAATTATAACAATGGAATGTTATTTTAAAAATATTCCAAAACCTGATTTGGATTCAATTGAATTAGCAAAAATGGTTTTGTTTTTTAATAAAATACATTCGTATAAATATATAATTTATAGAGAACATGCAAGAGGTAACATATGTCATAAGTATTTTGAAATTTTTTCACACAATTTGGGTCATGAAAGTCCTTATCGTTTTCTAAAAACATTCAAATACGATTTATGAAATGTAACAGTTAAAAATTTTATTGAGTGTTATTGACCTTAAACCGTGAAAATTCTCAGGAAATGAATTTTGAGAAACAAGATAAACACGAGTAATTTCAAGTTTTCAGTATACTCGTTCCAAGTTTAAAGAATACGTCTTTAATTTGGCATGTGATCATTTTTGATTTTACAATTCAGTGTCTTTTCTGGTGAAGACATTTGTACGCCTGCATATTGCATGATAAACAATGCACTAGTTTAATTCTTGAAAAATAACCTTTTCTATGTAGTTAAATAAAAGTTTCAAAATTCGTAATCGGTGATTGCCTTTGCTAAAAAGTTATGAAATATTAAGGTAACTTGTCATGAAATAGAATGGCTTTATAATATTAGATTTGAGCTTGATCACGACTGTCATACATATATATCACCAAATAAAACTCTTACAACATTCTGTCTACATGTATTCCAACAAATAAGACCCGTGCAACACCATTCTGTATACCATTTGAACAAATAACTGTCTTTTTTAGTAATATGCAATTTGTATACATTATCATAATAAGCACTCTATTCACATTAGAAAATGTCATGGGTAATGAATTAAAGAAATTCACAACACTTTATAATATATTTGATTTTATCACATTAAATAAAGGGCAAAAATACACATCGAAAACATAAATCTTATAGAAATACACAGGCATAGATAAATACAGGCCCTCACATAGACAGAAGACAAAATCATTTTTTACATTATTCCATGCATTTAAAAAACCCTAAAACATACAAAGGGTAGAAGTTGAGTCTTGAATAAATGTCGAATAGTGGAGAGACTTTAACCATAACATTACATTTTTAATGCACCCACCTAACACAAGGCTAGTTTATGTGTCATTCGAAAGATCATCGTCTATACCTTCTGATTTGCCCGCTCGTAAAACATTCGTACGGTGTATTTTTTGTCAAATCAAGATCAAAGGTCAAGGACGCATATTTTCCAAGGTGTCAGCTTTATTGCATATTATGTCTGCTTTCGTATAAAATCATGTATGCTAACAATTTAAACTTTTGACAGAAAGATTAATAGTCACTTATCAAGCGCACTTAGAAAGCTTGTATTATTGGCTTCTTAAACTGCTTTGTTCATTGCGTTAATGCAGAAATTCATCCACAAAAAAATGATGTGTTCAAATTATCATTGTACTAGACATTGTAACGTTCTGAATGCCTGTTCTAAGTAAGAAACCTTAAAGCAATACGTATTTTTCAAGTAACTGATTTTTGACACGTTGCAGTTGCATTGACTTTGATCATGTTGATTCTATGTCTTACCTTTCTGTAATCATCTATTGAGGAATTTAGAATGTAGGAAGAAACTTAAGTCCCAACTCCCTAAAACAAAGTTTACCTCAAATGTATTTTTCAAGCTATTGGTCATAAAGATCTGCAAGATTTCAAGTAGTTATAAATCATTTGTTTTTGTAATTTTGGTCTAGAGCTTTCCCGATGAAGGTAAATCAAGAAAAACACTTCGAACGCCTCAAATTAAAACAAAAATAATTTTTATTAAATAATATTAGTAGTAGATAAAACATTTAATAACGCCAAATAAAAAAAGTAAAAACACGTTGAACTTGAAATAAAAAACTGCGATCTCATTGCACAAAAATAACCCTTTACCACCCTGTATGAAGGTTTGATGTATAACAAACTTTAACCAGACTGTTTCTTGTTAAATGTAAAAAAAGTAAGTCAAATACGGAAAAATGAAATACATATTTTCAACATTAAGCTCTGGATACTGTGTTGTGGTCATGAGCAATCTTCTGTCCAAATTTCATATTATTCCATGAAGGCTTATTCCATTCCATTCTGATACTCTAATAAGAACCCAATTTCAGTGAAACATTAGGAACATTAAGAATTTAACAAAAAAAAGTATGAACTATGGGTTTTTCTTTTGTCCCAAGATGGATTCATTTCTATTCGTGGGATTCCAATAATCATTTATTTTTTGGGTATTGGTAAACCAGGAATTTAAATGTTCAAAAAGTGCACATTATTTATAGGCTTGAATACAGACTTTTGTTAAACCAAATATATAAAATACCCACGAAAATACAATTTTTAATCAATACACGAAAAATTGGAACCAACAAAACTATATGAATCATGAGTTATGATGAGGTAAACACACACAAAATTATCCTATATGACAGTCCAAGAATACATGTCCTGCATACAGAAAAATACATCTCTATAAAAATGATATTCACAAAGTAAACTTTCATATTTACACAATAAGAACAATAAATATAATAATATCAGCTATAATAATAACTATTTAAGAATATGTGAATATCAAATATTTTATCTAACTTTATACATCACAACAATATATAGTTAAATGACTTGTCTTCAAATAAAATAATAAAACTATTAACACAGAAATATGTCTCGCCTTTTTGATATTTTGAAAGTAGAATTAAAATATTGAAATTAAAATAGCAATATTTTAACTAAGTAAGTTATGCAAAATATTCAAAGTCAATGAACCATGACCTAAGGTACAGGGCCAAACAATCTCCATAAAAATGAGATGTGCCAATGGTAATACAACTGAATATCAAATATCATTGACCTACCACTAATTGTTCCCCATTAACTGACCTAATCACAAACTAATACTAAACTAAGCATTCGTTTCAAAGCCAATAGACCTTGACTGAGGGGGCAGGGTACTATAACAACTAAGGGTGCTATAAACAGTTTCGTATAAAAAACTAGGGGTTATTCCCCGACTAAAAATAACCATGGAGGGAAATCCGTTTTTATTCATATAATTGGTGAAAAAGTATCATGTTTTTTGTATTTGATTGTATAAATTAGTTAATTAGCTTTCAATTTAAACAGGTTAAATGATTAAAATAATTTTAAAAATTAGATTAAATATACAAGTTTTGAGGGAAGACAACACTGTAAACATCCTGTTATTTTGGCGGTGAAAATTGAAAACTTATTTGCAGCCACTGTAGCTCTTTTCGAAGCAGGAAACCGTACCCTGAAACATGATTGTTATTAAAGGGCAGGTAAAAACCTATGAATTTCATACAGTTTTGATTATGGGAAATGTGCCTGTATCATGTTTACATGGGTATGCACATGAGCTGATTTCAGGTTTTTTATGTTCAGATTAGGCAACTTTTCCCCATTTTCTCTGGATAGAACTTTTTTACTATACTAAAAGTACACTATATTTTTATTTCAATATAAACTAGAGACAATTCTGATTCCAGTGATATCTAGTTTTATACAAGTATCTTTATTAACCATTCCCCCACTTAGGGTCACTTAGACATGGTCCCTTAAAATATGACGTCATAGAAAAAAACTGTTGATTGCACCCTAAACCAATATCAAATGAGAATACAGAGCATCATGTAATTGTATAATTGAACTGAGATTCCTTTGTTAATCAGATCACTCCTCAAGAGCTGCAAGTGAACAGTGGAATAAGTGTACATTCCTTTTCAGGAATAATAATGTGTCACGTATATAAGTACTTATAACCCAACGACAATACATAACCCAAAATCAAATGACAATAAGTGTACAGTATTCCAATATTTGTCCATACAAATAAAAAATATTTACTTGATAAATAATTTATGTTCAGTGATACAAATCATATCATTTATTACATATATGATCTTTTTTCGATTCCCAAATAGGAATTATTTGGATACCCATGATGTGGCTGACCTCCGTTAGAAACCACTGCAGAATATGGTGGAGGATGTTCTAAGGGAGCGTTGGGAACCGTGTACTGACAATAGGGTCTTTCTGATGAACTTTGATTTTGTGATCTAAATGCTGGATAGTCATGAGCATTTGTCTGTCGTGTAGCTGTTGGTTCAGTTGGGCAAATTGGCCTTTCATTGGAAGATGATATACTGGATTTGGCTGTGATATGTCTAATGACACAAAATGCAATGATGACAATCACCAATACACCGATGACAATGCCAGCTATCGCTTCACCTTCTAGGCCTCCATCTTCTTTAGTGTTACAGTTATCTTAAAAAAATATATAACAAGACTCAATGGCCCTGCTTTTCTGTAGATGAATGTACTGTATATGTACTTTTTGCGCGGTGTATTTATTTTCACGAATTTTGCGGAAGGTATATTTTCGCAAAAATGAATACACACGAACAAAAATACAATTTTCATGCATATAAAAACCTGGAATACAATATCCCAAATGATCTTGACAATTGTACATGCATGTTTGTTTACCTTGAGTACCCTCAAGACCCTCAATTGTACTGTGATATTGTAAAAACAACACGAAAGCCAATTAAGAATTAAAGATATCACAGAATGACCCACGCTGGTATGACAGTTTTGTTGTGTAATTAATAACTTAATCGGATAATCATCTCCATATAAACAAATGACAGTTTTGATGATTGCATTGATCGAATAATATTTTATGAACTTAACCAAATTAAATCAATTTCAGACAAAATTACAAGTGAACAGTTTAAATAAACTGAAAAATTTGGCTTCAAATGTCCATGTTTATTTTTTAACACATATACTTCTACCATCCCCCATTTAATCCATCAACGTTTCAAAGGTTTCTCTTTCACACTATTAATCATTAATCCCTGAAGGGTACCTACTATCTAAAATATAAATACTTATTCATTTCCCTATTAAACAGACCGTTATTTATATTTTGTTTCAATTTCGGTAATACCGCAAAATTAAGTACACACGAATATGTCGGCAATTCCAAACACGCGAAAATAAGTACTCGCGAAAAAAAGTACATACACAGTATATGTTGGAGTTAAGTATATGTTTGCAATTTTCATTATTACATAGAATGGATATACTACTTACACAGTCAACTCTGGTTTTCTTAATGCTGACGAAACAGAGATAAAGTCTTTAGCCGACGGAAGTTTAATTCAAATGGAGCTGAAGTGAAATCCGTCAAGGGAAGATAAGTTGAATTTGTAGGATGTTAAACCAGTATTGAGTATCCAATTGATCAGGTGATATTATATATTAAAAGAGAGGCGAAAGATACCAAAGGGACATTCAAACTCATAAGTAGAAAATAAACTGACAACGCCATGGCTAAAAAACAAAAGATCAACATACTAACAATAGTACACAAAACACAACATAGAAAACTAATGACTGAGCAGCACGAACCCCACCAAAAACAGGGGGTGACCTCAGGTTGAAGTGAACAACATTCAATATCACGATACTTTTACATTTGAAAATGTTTTTTACTGTTTTCTGTAGTTGCATGTTTAAATATTGTTTTACATTTCAAATATTGCTTTTTTTAAAAACATTTTTAATTATAAAAGGTAGTTTTAATGACGCCTTTGATTGGTTCATGTTTTTTTATTACAACTTCGGTATGTTGGTCAATATTGTTGCTGTGTCTGTTTATAGCTTAAAAAGTTTAATAAAATTGACAACTTATATTTATTTCTTTTAAGTCTGGCTTCGGAATGGAAAATACTATGTTTGTTTGAACATTCATTTTTTATAATGACCCAAGCTAAACATTATTCAAATGCCCTTCTGTCACCTCTCATGGCATGATAACTAGTGCAATCACTTTGATGCCAAGAACCTAACCATATTTAATTAAACATGTCTGCCTATTTTATAAGTATCATGTAAACAAAAAATTATAAATTGTCTGATTTAGTCATACGTGTACTATCTATTAGCATGTTGAAATATCTTTAAATAATAGAGGCTATTTTTGGTAGGTGCGAAAAATTTCGATATATCAGACAATATTACCTTCAACACAATTATCATATGGGTCTTTAGATCCAACTTGTCCAAAGTAGCAGATACTCTGTAAGGCACAATACGGCTGTTGTAGTTCCTGGTCATTGGAATCCCTAACACACCAACTACATCCAGCCACTCCAAAACAATCCCTAAAAGGAGTAGTAAACAAACATTCAATGTCATAAACAGTTCAAGTTAAGGTGTTCTCTGTTCCAAAGTGTGTGTGCAAGGATTTTATATTGTGTCTTGAATTGATACACAATACCCCCTTTTTTTCAAAGTATACACAAAACATACAAAAATAACTATCATGAACTGTATTTATATCAAGGAAGCGTAGCCCAATATCGTAAAACAAATACTAATGCCATCTTAAAAAGAATGACTTATAAATGAACAGATGCAAAAAAATAAAAAAAAAAAAAAAACATTATGAAATGTAAAAAGTAAAACAACAAAAATACCGAACTCCAAGGAAAATTCAAATAAGAAAGTCCCTTATCAAATGGCAAAATCATATGCTCAAATACATCAAACGAAAGGAAAACAACCGTCATATTCCTGGCTTGGTACAAGCATTTCATTACGTAGAAAATGGTGGATTAAACTTTGATTAATAGCACGCTAAACCTCTCACTTTTACGAAATTCCATTATATTGACAACAATGTTTGATCGAAACAAACAGATAAAGGTAAAAATGTAAAATATAGGGGCAAAGCAGTCATAATCTTAATCACGATAAAAACAAACAAATATGTCAACTAAGATTCAGCATATCAAAGAACTCCATATATTTAATTTTTGGTCCCCGATTTGGACAGATTCAGCATATCAAAGTACACCAAGAATTTAATCAATCTATTTATTAATGGAAAATATGAGATAAGTTTTTTAAAAGAGTTCGAAAAAAAATATATAGCATTCTGAAAAGTAACTTATACAGAATAACAAACAAACCTATCACGAAGTTCTTCACAAAAACAATTTCCAAAATATCATTCCCCAATTGAAACAGTCCTACAGTCATCCCCACGATATCGCATCAAAATAATGCCGGATTTAAAATCATCTTTTCTGCCACAACGCTTAGAAAAGCACAAATATTTTGTCAATCCAATTTTATCTTCCCTTAGACCCTCATGAAATACATTGAAATATAACAAACAAAGAATAAGATAATAATCAAACAAATACACGCATAAGCTAATGTATAGGGAATTCATACATCACACACTTTCCTTTATTCATTAATTTCCATGATTAGTTCAAAAAATGTTAAAATAAACAAAAAATTCAATTTACTTCATTGTTCCTGTCCTGGAGTGGTAATATCGGAAACTGGACATAATCATCTCTCCATATTAACAGACTTTTTTTTGTCTTAAACATCTGTTTGTTAAGTAACATTGCCTGTTCCTTTATCAGCATAAGATGAAAAATTTAAAGCTCTACTTTACCATTTTATAATCGAATAGTGAACAGTATAGTTAAAACTATATTTCTTCTCTAGAATTAGCTTACCATGATGCTATATCTATTTTCATCTATGAATTTTTAAATTTCTATTAATTGTGCAATACAGCTCTGATTAAATATTGTATATAGCATAGTTTCTGACACAGAATGAATGTGGTCTAAGTACTTAGATAAATTTTAATTGGATATTTACCAATTATGGTCCAATATCCAAGATCTAAATACATGGTTAGATTCAGCATATCAAACATGTGTCAAAGAACCCCAAACATTCAACTTTTAATGAAATTAAGTTAAACTTTAATTTTGGACCCTGTGGACCAATTTGATTACGGGACCCACAATCTAAAATCTAAACAGACACTTAGATTCAGCATCTCAAAGAACCCTGTATATTCAATATTTGTTGAAATCAAACAAAGTTTAATTTTGGACCCGGTTTGGACCAACTTGAAAACTGAGCCCAAATTCAAAAATCTAAATACACTGTTAGATTGGGCATTTCAAAGAACACCAATAATTATATTTTTGATGAAATCAAAAAAGTTAAATTTTTGACCCAGATTTGGACCAACTTGAATAATGTCCCTAAATTCAAAAATCTAAATACACGCTTAGATTCAGCATATCAAAAACCCCAAGAATTCTATTTTTTTTTTAAATTAAACAAAGTTTAACTTTTGACCCTTTGGACCTTATTATGGACCATTTCGAAGACAAGCCCCAATTTAATATCTAAATTCACGGTTGGAATCAGCATATCAAAGAACACCAATAATTACATTTTTGATGAAATCAAACAAAGTATTATTTTGAACCCATATTTGAACCAACTTGAATACTGTGCCTAAATTCAAAAATCTAAATACACGCTAATATTCAGCATATCAAAGAACCCCAAGAATTCTTTTATTTTTAAAAAAAATAATCAAATTTTTATTTTTGACCCTTTGGGCATTAATATGGACCATTTCGAAGACATGCCCCAAATTTAAAACAAATAAATACACGGTTGGATTCAGCATTAAATCAAACAATTTAATTTTAGACTCTTTTGACATTAATATGGACCAATTCAAAAACAGAGTCCACAGTCCAAATTCTAAATGACCGGATATAATCAGCATATAAAAGAATCCAAATTATTGAAGACTTTGAATTTAACCCCATTGAAATTGGTTAAAAAAATAAGCAATGTATAACAAAGTATTACACAAGTATTGTTTTTTGCCCCTTTTGTCCTAAACCGTTAGGGTCATCACCCCAAAATCAAAACCTGTTTGGTCCTTAATTACTAAACAGCTACAAAAATAATCCCAAAAATCAATCCCAACCTTCCTAATGTGGATTGGAACCTTGTGATATAATTTTATAAAGATACATACCCTTATACCCAAGTTATTGTCTGCGAACCGGTAAAATGCCTGTTTTAGCCCCGTTCTGGCCCTTAATTATTTAACAGCTACGACAATAACCCCCAAAATAAATTCCATACTTCCTATTGTGGAATGAAACAATTCATAGAGATCCATACACTTATACTCAAGTTATTATCTATGAACCTGTAAAATGCTTGTTTTTGGCCCCTTTCTGGTCCTTTATTACTAAACAGCTTCAACAATTACCCCCAACACCAATCCCAACCTTCCTATTATGATATGGAACCTTGTGGAAAAACTTCATAGAGATCCATACACTTATACTCACGTTATTGTCTGCGAACCAAAATGTCTTTGGACGACAAGCAAAATGATTGTTTTGGGTCCCTTTTTGCCCCTTAATTACTAAAAAGCTATGAAAAAACAACCAAAATCAATCCCAAACTTCATATTGAGGTATGAAACCTTGTGCTAACATTTCATATAGATCCATACACTAATACTCAAGTTTATATTGTCTGCCACCCAAAAAGTCTCCGGACGACAAATTTCTTTAGTCGTCAACGCAGATATCGCCATAGCATAATACGAACGCAAAAAATTTTAGATCGTATAAAAACTCAGCAAGCATGACACAAACCCAGTTAATCAAAATTGTATGAATTTCATAGATTTTTACGTGGAAAAATCTTGCTGTAGTGTATATTATCCTCCTCTGGAAAGAGCTATTGTAGCTATAAATAAGTTTTCAACTTTCTTTACCAAAAACACAGAAAGGTAACAGTGTTGTCTCCCCTTAAAACAAGTATATCTATTATAATTTTTAGTTCATTTTGATCATTCAACATGTTTAATTGAAAGCTTACTAGTTCTAACAAATACAAAACTAGAGGCTCTAAAGAGTCTGTGTCGCTCACCTATGTCTATGTGCATCTTCAACAATGGATACTCTCCGTTGTGGACTAGAATAAAATTCATTACAAAAATATCTTCTTTATTGATCTAGTCTTACTAATCATTTATACTTTTTTAAGATTCTATTAATCTAATATAGTTTTTTAGATAGTAGGCAACAACACAAAAAAATTTATAAAAATCGTTATGAAACTCTAATAAGGGGTCATCAGATGATTCAAACCATGTTGACATATTTGTAGATATTGTCTTGCTGATCATTTTTGCTCCTTTAAGTTTTTATCTATCTATTAAAGTTTTTCCAATATAAAGCAAAAATGCAAAATAGTGGTAAGAACCATCATTAGTGGGCAATAACTCCAATAAGGGGTCGTCAGCCGATTTAAACTATTTGATTTCTTTGTAGCTCTTGTCTTGCTGATCATTTTTGCTTATTTAAGATTCTATATATCTATAATACTTTTTTCAGATATTAGGCAAAAATGCAATAAAATAGTAAAAATCGCATAAAGGCCATTAACTCTAAAAGGGGTCATAAGACAATTTCAACCATGTTGACTTATTTGTAGAACTTATCTTGCTGATAAATTTTGCTTTATAAAGTTTCTCTCTATCTATTTATTTTCAAGATAATAGGCAAAAATTAAAAAAAATGGTTTAATCGTCATTTAGGGGAAATAAATCCTATAAAAAATTGTCTGACAGTTTGGAAGTAAATGGACAAGAGGTATATCCCATCAGTCCAAACATTTTATTCCTGACAGATTTTCTCTATTTTTAGTAGTTTATAATGGACAAAACTTGCATTTTACCGCTATGTTCTATTTCTAGCCATGCCGGCCATCTTGGTTGGCAGGCGAGGTCAAAGTTTGGTTATATATGGATCAGCAGTTTCAGAGAAGAAGATTTTTGTAAAAGTTAATGACGACGGACGACGGACGACGAACGCCAAGTGATAAGAAAAGCTCACTAGGCCCTTCGAGCAATTTGAGTTAAAAAAAAGTGATACTTTTTCACCAATAATGTAAATAAAAAAGGATTTCCTTCCATGGCTATTTTCATTTTGAAAATAACCCTTAGTATTCTATACAAAACTGTTTAAATCAACAACAATGTATCTTTCTTTAGGGCATACATCCTTGAAAAAATTTTTTTTTTTTGCACTGATTTTCTAACTTGTCGGATTCATTGCTGATATAAACTTTAACATAAATATGATAAAAATGGAAAGAATTGTACAAATGAGAGCGCTTATACTAGACTGGACGCGCAGAATGAAGGAAGGATGCCCAATATTTCTCTGTGCCCTGCACCACATTCGGTGTTTAACAAAAAAATGGATTTTTTTTTAGTTTACAAAGGATTAAATCATTTAAAGTATATTTACTCTATACCGCCATCTTGGATTGTAAAATAGCATTACACAATCAGTTAAGTCCTTTGCTTATGTCTGCAAGTTTTGAGATAGATTGTCAATTAATATGGCAAACTTTTTTTTTGAATAAAAAAATAGTGATATATTGCATTCTTTAGACTGTACCAAATATTTATTTTTGTTCGAATCAATTTTTCAACTAAGCAATTTAAGAGGAGATAACTCTAACAGTAAAAATGTTATACAGGAATGTTAATGAAATTTTCATTTTTTACTTGTACATTTGTAGCTAAAAAATAAATTAGGTGAGTCCATTATTTAATTTTATTTTCTTAAAGCATATTTTAAAACCTATTTTCCCATAATTTAATTTAAAATTCTATCAAATGGATTTCAAATAATTTTTTTTTTCAATAACAATCTATGTAAAATTGAGCAATTTTGTATGACTTGTAGCTTGAAAAATAGCACCATGACCGAAACTTTTTAATGAATTTTTTTCATAAACACATGGCAAAATCTACATTTCTGCAAAGTATTAAAAAAAATCCATCTGAGGAAGTATATACAGATGATCGACCTTGAATACTCTGATTCAAGAGAAAAAAAACAATGACCGATGACTGCTTTACATTGGTTTCAGTTTCAATACGTTTCAGGGTGTTATTTCGGAAAATTCCTAAATTTTTAACTGCATTTTTGAGATTTTCATACAATTAACAAAAATGGGAGACAATTAAGAATTAAGAAGAACAAAATTCTATCAAAATATAAAAAGTGCTTTTTTGATTTTTTGAAAACGTATCCTGTTTCTTTTCCCATGGAATCTGTTGAATATAAACATTTAAAAACTTTCAGTAATGTAAAATGACAAAAGAACAAAGATTTCTTCTCATCCTATCCAAATGGGTAATTAAGGTGGCTGAGGTGTCTTCCTACATTTTTGATTTTTAAGTAGCAGATAACATTTGGCCTAGATCTTTAATGAAATGTGCAAATATTGAGAGTAGTATGTAATTCACGTAAAAGACTTTTCATGTTAATATAGAAAATAATGTATTTTATTATATTTACGGCTGTATTTTCTAAATAAAAACACAATATGTTTGTTTGATTAGTTTTTTTTTTATCTTTGCCACATATGGGAAAATAACTCAAATAGTAGGGGAGATAACTAAGATAAAGTAATTTTTATAATAAAAAGTGTTGTGAATTTATGTTAGTTAATATTTAGCAAGAAAACAAGTCTAGTGACCCATTTTTTTCTTTTTCTTATCTGATAGCATGTTATAAGAGCTATCTTCTCACATTTTATCTTAAAATTCTATAGTGTAGTTTTCTTTTTATCCCACAAAATTGGATTGTCCATGCATAATCTATACATAATCTGACAATTTTGCACAACCTGTAGCGTGAAAAAAAGTCCGCTGACCCATACTTTTGATTATATTTTGGAAATGAGAATGATAAAAACTACATCTTGACAAATTATTAAAAAATTCTATGGACTTTAATTAAGACCCCAATCCAACATAAACCAGCAAAGTTATTGGAATTACTACAGAGTACAGAAAAACTAAAAGATTAACCATTTTTGAAAGAAAACTTACGATTTCTGTGTTCTTGTGGAGCATTTAGGATCAAAGCAAAATTGAAGATTTTGAATCTTTTGTTCGTCATTCAGATTTTCTGTCTGGAGCTCTGGGTCTCTAGGACTACATGTTTGTGCAGCATCACTGTGAAAAAGCAGTAAAACAAACTTATATGTCAGAGGTGCTTAATACAGAAATATATATATACTGTCAGCCTTTGTTCAAAAAAGTAATAACTATAGAAAAACTAATCCAAGAATTAAAATATAGAACGAATATTCAACAAGTGACCAAACAACAATTCACAAATGCATGTAGAACATGAATTTATAACCAGTGTTGTTATGTCAAGAGCTGAATATTTTTTTTATATTTCAATTCTTTGATAAGTTACAGTACTTGCAACCCTAGGCGTTATTGCTTGACGGGAACTTGACTGATTGGTGAATGATCCATGACGGATGTTTGACTGATCGATGAATGATCGGTGATCGATGACCCAGAGAATCCGTCAGATATGTCAAATAAGCTATGTGAGAGTTACCGTGACAACAGTCAGAGATCGATCAGTCAATTAATTATATGGAAGGATCGGACAGATACATTGATAATTAAAATTCTTATGTGAAACGAACTCCGAAGTATTTACACCTTTACTCAATAATTTGTAATCAACCTGGTCAAAATAATATATTAATAAATATAAAATATATGAATTACTTTTAATGCAGTGTATGTGATGTTTTCATTATCATATTTTTATCATTCTGCTCAATAAATTGCATAATTGCAGAATAATGATATCGTCAGAATGTTTTTGTATCAGTAAAAAGAGATAAATGTTATCATGGTAAATAAGTACCCTGTTAAATAATCTTGCATTTTAATGCCACTACATGACTTAGTTTTCATGAAATGTAAATAATATAACAGTAAAGATCATTTATTTCTTTATTCTGATAGAAAGCATGATACGCCATTGGCTCTTTTTTTTGTAATAAAATGTGAACGATATAAGGATCAAATTCTTAAACTTTTTTTTTTAATTGATTGCAATTATTTCTTTATTTCAATGAAAATCCACAGTAAACAAAACACACTTTTTCAAAAGAAAATAGAGGTTTAGCTTGGTGTTTAATAAAATGTGAACGATATAAGGATCAAATTCTTAAACTTTTGGTTTTTTTTAATTGATTGCAATTATTTCTTTATTTCAATGAAAATCCACAGTAAACAAAACACACTTTTTCAAAAGAAAATAGAGGTTTAGCTTGGTGTCCAGTACAATCGAGAAAGGATCTGATCAACAGGCTACACACTATTGGTTTTAACTCTTGGAAATTGCAGTTGTCTCCCTTTATTGATTTCCCTTGAGTCTATCTTCAATTGACAAGTAATTTTATCACTGTTAAGTTAGGTTCTAGTGTACACTTACCCTAACAAAGTGTATGTATTTTTGCAATAATCAAAATCTGCATCTTTGTAACACAAACAGTCACATGATTTGGAGTTGCATTTATGCGAATCAGGTGATATTCCGTAAATCTATAAAATATAAAATAGGAAGATATTAATAACAATAGGATACATACATATGCTTAAATAATAAGCATATAGCTACAGAAACAAGAATAGATCTGTTGTTGTACTAAGCATACACTCACTTGGAATTCAAAGTGTCAAAAAAAGGAATCAGGTGTCATAACGGTCTAAAAAGCGCACACGTGTTACTACTTGTCACATTTGAGCTGATGACATCATATGAAGTCATTATATTCAGTATTATTGGAGAACTGTGTGACACTAAGGGTTAGATAATTTTTTTTTTTTGGGGGGGGGGAGTGTGGGGATTCACTGCAAAACTCATGTCAAGTAACTGATGAAATGAATTTGAAGGATGTAAATGTACTGAATTTACTTACAAAATTTTATCAACCTATCATACACGCAATTTTGAGATGACCCTAATTCATACAAGAAAAGTTTTCTGATGTCACCAGCAAATGCACATATTATATTTTGATTTTGTCCTAAGGCAATTATTCCAACAAACATAATCGTGTAATTAAGTCAACCTCAACCCTTTATTCAAAGTATTAGAAAACAGGAAGTAAGTGTATGATAATTTCGAATGCCAAGCTTATGACAAAAAAAAAAAGAAAAGTCATTTTGTTTAGTCATGGGGATATTGTGTGATGAAAATTTTTGTTGGACGAGCGGTCATACAGAAAGACGTCGTTAAATCAATTAAGAGGAGTGGGGTATAATTTTTTTTTCTTTGGTTCTTTTAAACTTTTTCATAAATATCCTTCAATAAATGTAGGAATGAGTCAATTACAATGCAAATTTTCCATATACTATATATATATAAGAAGATGTGGTATGAGTGCCAATGAGACAACTCTCCATCCAAGTCACAATTTATAAAAGTAAACCATTATAGGTCAAAGTACGGTCTTCAACATGGAGCCTTGGCTCACACAGCACAGCAAGCTATAAAGGGCCTAAAAAATTACTAGTGTAAAACCATTCAAACGGGAAAACAAGCGGTCTAATCTATATAAAAAAACGAGAAACGAAAAACACTTATGAACCACATCAACAAACGACAACTAATGAACTTCAGATTTCTAACTTAGGACAGGTGCAAACAATTGCAACGGGTTTAAACGTTTTAATGGTACCAAACCTTCACCCTTATCTGAAACAATAGTGTAACATCACAACATAGAAAGACACACTATAGAATATCAATTGAAATGGCTTAACTCAATCAAAAGACATATTAACACAAGTGAACATACACTGAACGAATAAATTTGATCTATGATACAATTTAAATACAAAATCAATAAAATGAGGGTTGAATGATTAAAGTAACAGTATTATACTGCTGTGAAATGTTCAACACTTTCAGAAAAACAACAATAAGCTTAAACAAAAATCCGCCATTTACAATAATATTATACACAAGTCAATGAAAATAATTTTGTTGTTAGGTATACAGTTAAAAAGGAGAAAGGAAATATTTTTACAAAATAGATAATTTTGATGTTCATAGTTCAAAGAAGTGAACATTTGTAGTAATACCAAATACTTATCAAAGCTGGTAAAATATAGTCCAGATATAACCCTGAATAAGTAATCATTAAATAACAAAAAAGCATTACAAATAGTATCAACAGGTCAAATAACAAGTAAGTACGATTTGAGAGTACTCGCAGTTACTGACAGCTAGTTAAAAGCCAAAAACAATTAATAATAAAAAAATCATGCATCAGAGACTAAAATCAACAAAAACACATCCCGGGAATTTAGTATTTTAACGTCATGACCAGTCAAAGAAGACATGACTTGTGCAATGCCAAAAATAAATGTATCGACAGGCAGTAGGATAGTTAGGAGTTAACCTCTTAATAGATAAAAATGAACGTGGTTGTGTCTTTATACATCCCGTTCGTAAAGAATACAAATTTAGTTATGTTTTAATTTGCTGATGACAAAATCGAAATTAGTTCCAATGTAAATATCTTTCTTTTTTAAAGGCATATTATCTCCTACAAAAATAGTTGATCAATATTGATAATCAAAATTATCCAAGGCTTTGCTGATATAAATTTTTCATACAAAATAATGGCATGAGAGTGCTTAAAATGCAATGTTCCATATATTTAACATTTAAAAGCCAGATAACTCCTGTAAAAATAATTGATCAGCACTGATTTTTTAACTTGCCCAAGACATTGCTAATATAAACCTTTAGCATAAATTCTATAAATAAAGGCAACAGTAGTATACGGTGTTCAAAAGTCATAAATCGATTGAGGGAAAATAAATCCGGTATATAAACTAAAACCGAGGGAAACACATCATCTATAAGAGGATAACAAAGGAACAATTGGAACACTGAAGTGCAACAAAAACAAACGCCAACAAAAATAGAAACGATCTATTCGATAACAATTACCATATTACTGACTTGATACAGTACATTTAAAGAAAAAATAGTTTTATGGTTAGCCAAACCTCCCGCTTTTATGACAATGTTAAAAAATATCGCTAAAATGACAACACTACGTTACAGAAATACAGCGCAAACACACGCAAGAACACTCATCACAGAGAAACGCACAAACAGATAATATTATAGTCGACACAACATGCAAACGGCAGAACAACAACGAACATCTTCCATCAATGACAGACACCATAGGACATCGAAAACAGTGACGCACTTACGTAACGAACATGCAATCTCGAACTTTATACAATTATTTTCACTATACCACTCCAAACAATTTTCATGACAATGATGGTATTGAAAGGCAATTTTATAATAATTTGGACTACAAACGCTAAGACATGACAAATTATCCAACCAAAACATAAAAAATAAATTCATGGAGGTAGGATGTACAAAATACCGAGACACGTCGTATAGCAATGCAAATCACACAAGGTATAACAGTCATTTTCGGGAATAGGTCACGCTCGGTACTTAGCAGACAGACGACATAGATGTTAAAATTCTTCATCATCTATTTTTCAACGGACATAACTCCTTTTAAAATAATAGATTTACACGGATTTTCGATTCTGGCAAGGCAATATCGATGAATTTAAAATTTACTAAAGACATTGACCTTTGATATCAAAAAATCATTTAAATCCTACAAGAAATGTAGGCATGAGAGCCCTTACAATGCAAATTCCCATATTGATTTTATTTCTAAGGGCATAACTCGTTTTACGATAGTTAATCAGTGATCAATTTAAAACTTGCTCAAGCCATTGCTGATATAAACCCTTAATATAAAGCTTCCTTAAAAATCCTACAAGAAATGAAGAAGGCTTTTTATATATATTTTGTTTTCGTTTCCAAGAGGCATAACTCCTATAAAATAGTTATAAGCACTCATTTTCAAACACATCCTAATAATGGATAATATAAACCTTTAATTTAAACATCTGACAAGTATTGTATGTTTGAGAGTGCTTTCAAGAACGGACAGTCAATTACTAACAGACACGCTGATTGATGGACATAATTCAAATACAGTCCATGAAAACTAAGAGAACCCTTGAATAACTTATTCTTAAAGTTATCAATTTTTTAAAGGATTGTTATTATATTGTGCTGCTACACCATTGTACAACGTTAAAGGGAGAGTTGAGTGCTCCAAAACATGGTTAGCCTAAACAATTTCTGCATATTTATGTCGCATGCCAGAAGCCTGTAATTCCGTGGTTTTCATTGGTTGCTGTCTATCATATTTAGTTTTGTTCATTGTTTTGTACATCAATCAGGCTGTTAATATAAAAAAGAAGATGTGGTATGATTGCCAATGAGACAACTATAGGTCACCGTACGGCCTTCAACAATGAGTAAAGCCCATACCGCACAGTCAGCTATAAAAGGCCCCGAAATGACAATGTAAAACAATTCAAACGAGAAAACTAACGGCCTAATATATGTTCAAAAAATGAACGAATAGCAAATATGTAACATATAAACAAACGACAACTACTCAATTACAGGCTCCTGACTTGGGACAGGCACATACAAACAGAATTTTGAGGGGTTAATCATGTTAGCGGGATCCCAACCCTCCCTCTAACCTGGGACAATGGGGTAACAGCACAACAGAAACTTTTAGTTTTCCTTTTGAATTGTTTTACATTTTGTTATGTACTGGCCTTACTACAGTCAAACTTTGTTGTGTTTAATTCAGTTGCGTCGAAATCCAAGATAATTCGAGGTATTTTGTAAACCCCGGCAGAATTCCTGTTTGTTCTTGGCATTTCCAACTTTGATGATTCGAACTTAGATGATTGGAAATCTTGATTAACCTGAGTATATTTTGAAGTGCCCTCAAAGAATGAACATAAATTTACCTCGATGCTATGAAGTTCAAAATAAAAGAAATTTTAGAAGGAAAAAAAAAATAGTTCGAAATTATGTATCAAATATTAATACTGTAAATTCAGATATTACTGCGAGGATTTTATTAATGCGAATAATGCGACTGGGTTGGTATCGCAATAATAAGAACTCGCATTTTCATAACTGAAACATAGATCTGTATGCTGTTTTTTTCGAAATCGCAAAAAATAAACTCGCATTTTTGTCTTTTCTTGAGAAATCGCAATAATAAATGCACGCAATAATTTCTGAATTTACAGTAATGCATGTTTTATTGTGCATCACAATAAGCTTCCTTGTAAGATATATTTTAATCAGTTTGTTTGTATAACAATCAGATTGGCAAATATAGTTGATGTTTGACCATGCGAAAAATAATGCTTGTGGAACACATTTTAACAGAGATAATTACGGAATGAAATAATACACCCAAGCCAAGAATTATTAAAAAAAATCAATGAATAACGAAACTTATAATAAACATGAATGAACTCACAGTTCAAACTTTTGTTGCAAATTTAAGACGTGACCTCAGCAGACAGCGGCTAAGAAGAAAGTTGAAAAATAATACATTTGTAACAATTTATTCGTCTCGCAAGTACTTTTGTACTTTATATATCCTTATCTTTGTAAACATCAGATGTGAACTGTCTATTCTGTCTTATTTTTTATGAAATAACTTATTTTTTAATACTGCATGTACCATCAATGAATATGGATTGGGATATTAAATGCGTTTTCTTCAAACACAAGATACAATATCGAAATGGTAGAAAGTAAAATCACAAAAATACTGAATTCCGAGGAAAATTCAATCGGAAAGTCCCTAATCACATGGCAAAATCAATTGCCAAAACACATCAAACGAATGGACAAAATCTGTCATATTCCTGACTTGGTACAGGCTGGTTTTATAGCGCTAAACTGCTCACTTGTACGACAGTCTCATCAAATTCCGTTATATTTACAACGATGCGTGAACAAAACAGACATGATAATAAATAAAATAGTCAAAATATGGGTACTGCAGTCATCACTGTGTTACAATATCAAAACAAACAATCATTTACAAAAAAGCACAAAAGCCTCTATCAAATTAAAAACCACATTCATTGCTTCGCGTGTCTGACGTCAGAAAATGTAAATGTCACATAAGAAGAATTTTTGTCGTTCAATGTTTATTCAAAACAATTTAATAATTTCACATGGGGAATGTTGGTATACAGGGTATAAAATCAAAAGTTATGTTAGAATTAATTTCAGAAATATACCGAGATTTAAAATTGTTCAAAAGTTCTGAACATAACGACATATAATAGAACAATAACATAATGACGGGATCTTTTAAAGTACAGAGTCACGTTATAGGAACCAAAGATCACAAAAAAGTCGCATAAACAAAACACACCAGCAAAAATGAAAGATAATACAAACACATTGACGGGATGTATAAGTACCGAACCTCGTCAAATGGATATCACAGAAAACAAACCAAACAGTAAAAGTAATAATAATAATAGAACAAAGACAAATGAAAGAACAATATAACACGTTGTTAAGATGATAAACAGCGTCAGTACGCAGAATCTATACTTTAAGACCATCATGTATTATTTGTGAAGTTGATACGGAATATTTATCAACAAGGTCTTGGTACCTTCCTATGAATTTTTTTAGAAAAAGGACGAGACGTTCTTTGACATACCCCTGGTTCATCAACTTTCTGCTCAGTCTGATGACGTTTTACAAAGTCTGAGTAGGAGCAGCAAGCTCTTGAATATCGAATAAGTTGGGAAATGTATATCCCATATGCTGGTGAAGTTGGTATATTGCTACTAAGGTGGGGGAAATTTATAATTTTAAAACTAAAATCGTCTCGTTTGTCATAGATTCTGGCACTGAGATGACTGTGTATGTCAAATTCGAGATATAAGTCTTAAAATTAGGCGGAGGAAGCCGTGTCTGTTGTTTCTTTAATTTCTAGTTCTGGGGGATATATTAATGGAACCCAATCAGAAAAGTTCGGATTGTTAATGGAAAGAACTTCATCAATATATCTGAAAGTGAAATTAAATAATCTGGCTTCTTTGATCTTCTTGTTTTTGACAAGTGTCTGAAGGAACTCCGATTCATATGAAAATAAGAAGAGGTCGGCAAGGAGAGACGCACAGTTCGTTCCCATAGGAATGCCGACAATTTGTTGAAAAAGTCTACCTCCAAATTCAACAAATATGTTGTCGATAAGAAACTCCAGCATACTGATCACTTGTTCTTCTGTGTAGCATGTTTTACCCTTTTGTTCACTATTAACAAAATATGCCTTATGATATCCCAAAGTAATACATTTATAGCGTATGCTACCATTTTTATGATGAAAGGCATTGTGGATTATTTCTTTCAGGCGATTTTTCAATTTCACATGGGGAATGGTGGTATACAGGGTTGAAAAATCAAAAGTTTTGATAGAACTAATTTCGGAAAAAGACCTAGATTTAAAATTATCTAGAAGTTCTTTAGTATTTTTAAGAATCCACATATGGTTAATACCACTACGCGAGTAAACAGTTTCACAGTATTTCTGAAGACCCTCTTTCACTGCGGACAGAATTTTAGTCAATCTAATGGACAATTCTTTAGTGGAACATGCAGATGAGCCGGCAATGTACCGTTTTTTGTACGGAATTTTGTGAAGCTTAGGTATCCAATACAAACAAGGTAAGTCTTCCGATTTGGTGTTCAATGTAATGTTCATTGAAGCCATGAAGGACTTATGATTTGCTAAAATCTCATCCTTGTCAAATGATATGCTTTTGTATGTGGGATTACCTGAGTGCTCATTTATTCCTAATTCATTTACAAGACATTCGTAGTAATACGATTTACATACAAAGACAATATTATTTGAAAGTTTGTCCGCAGGAACAACAACATACTTATCATGAAGAGTTGATAGATATTTCACGGCCTCTTTGTCTCTGAAAACGGACTTTGGTCGATCATTCACACAGTTTTTCAACTTATGAATGCGACGTTTTATCAGAGACCTGATAGTTTTGACCCATTCTTACAAAGTGTCCAGTTCAACTTCTTCTCGTTTAGCCCATGCTCTGGCGTAGTCCTCAATGGAATCCATAATTATTTTGAAATTATGGTTCCAATTGATGTGTTGGGGTTCTCTAAACTTAGGACCATGAGAAATCACCTTTCGGAGATTTTCATGTTGAATTATGTTTAGATCCCCAGTTATAACATGACCAGAGGGGCTGTAATTATAAGGCGAGTGGGAACAGTCACATGTCGGTGGGTTTTTGAGGTATTGTTCAAAGTCAAGGTCTTGCAATGCTTGTTAATAGTTAAATACTTTAGGTGCAATGGTTTTGGTGTAACTGTGGGATACAATAGGAACAGACTGATTTTGAAAATAAATAGGAATTTTAGATTTTACCTCCTTGTGATGTAGAACGTTGCAGATGTTGATTGCATCAATTCCTCTATTGGTAAAGTGAACAGGAAGGAATTTTCTCTTTTCCTCATGTAAAGGTTCCGATCTTACTGGTTTGAAAAGACGGAAAAGAGCTACATCACAAATAATACTGACTAGTCTGTATATTGAAGAAAATGTAACGAAACATCCTTTGTCAAGTGAATAATCTTTCAAACATTTAAGAAAATTAACAGGCAGTGAAAAAAGAATAGTTCTAATGTAATGTAACCCTAGTGGATGATGAAGATGTAAAAGAAGGTCATCAAAGCTCCCAGAGGGCGATCTAGATTTTGAAGACTTTTTTACATTAGGCCGATGGTAATGTTTTTGCCCATGACTACGTTGTTGTCGTAAGGTAGTATTAAATAAACTCATTACATTAACATCACTCCAGGCAGGACTGGACAAATTTCCTACTCCTTTGACATTATCATTGCAACCATATGGCATTACAGTCCCTAATTCCCTTATCCAGAAATTTTCTCTATCTTTGCGGAAAGGAGTACTTAGTACAGGGCTATTTGTGTGGTGATAAATTTTCTCGATGATGCGTACACATCTCAAGACCTCAGATATCTTTAACCTCGAATGAGTTGAATAGATATGTCAGGTCCCTCCAGTTTCAACAGATCAAGGTTCGGCTGTATAGGATTTTGGTTTTGTTCATTGTTGAAGGCTGTACAGAGACCTATAGTTAATTATATTCACATCACCTGATCTCTGGTGGATAGTTTTTTTTATTGGTGATCATACAACATCTCCTTATTACTGTACATATGGTAATGACTTACACTGCAACACCTTGTAGAAGCTGTGTGGACTCTCTGTCTTATGACCATAAATATATTACTGTTAGGAACTGGATCTATCTTGTATTTAGCATATGAATTCATTCTATCATTACCATTTGTTGCAACCTGAAAAATACAACAGGTATAAATTCAATACACTTCATTGATTGATTTTTGGTGATTAGATTCCACTTTCAGCACTATTGGCTATTTTGTGGCAGCCATGTTTTATTAGTGGAGGAAGCCAGAGTGCAAGCCAGAACCACCGAACTTTGGCTGGAAAAAAAGCATTCCTAGTCAATTAAAATTAGAGTCAAATGCACCTGCACCACCTGTGTGGGCCACGACCTCACAACCTCAGTGTTGACATGCTATTGGTACAGAAGTTGAACTACTTGGACCACTCAGCCACAAAGGACCCTAATGCGGAAATAGTAACAATGTCACAGATTCTGATAAATGAGACTGCTTTCAACATCTTACTGTAAAAACTGAAAATTTAGATGCAGTTTTGTTTTTCACTATTTCTTCGAAAAGAACTGATGCATGAAAATAAGACTGCCTTCAACATCTACTAAAAACAGGGAAAATTTCACTTCCGTTTAATTTTTGCTGTTTTCACAATAAGAATTAATATGTGAAAATAAACCTACAGTATAAAAATGAGGAGATGTGGTATGATTGCCAATGAGACAACTATCCACCCAAGTTCAAATAAAATAGATGTAAGCAATTATAGGCACCAGTACAGCCTTGAACAATGAGAAAAATCCATACAGTATAGTCGGCTATAAAAGGCCCTGACATGAAATATATGAAATTATTCAATTGAGAAAACCAACGGCCTAATTATTAACAAAACAATTTACGACAATCAAATAGGACAGACACGAACTAACGACAACCACTGAACTACAGGTTCCTGACTCTGGACAGGCACATAAAGAATGTGGCGGTGTTAAACATGTTTGTGAGCGCTCAACCCCCCCCTAACATTGGACAGTGGTGTTACAGCACAACATAAGAACAAACTATAAAAATTTAGTTTAAAATTGCTTAACTCATCAGATCGACACAAAGCACTTCTCATCAGATCGATACAAAGCACTACATTATGGACACTCGATTCATAGTACAAAAACAGGACAAGAATAAATATCAATCTGAAAAAGACATCTGCTATAATTTAGATTAATTTTTTTGAAAGAAGTAGAGCCAGGAACCCAATAAATCGCCCTTTAAATGTGTTATATTTTCGAACTTCAATTATTAAACTAAAACTTATGTATGTGTTATTAAATGTATTATGTTTAAAAGTATGTTCAGAAAAATTGTATATCTGGTTCATATCTATAAATATTATTAGCCTGAAATAGGAATAGATTTCATTTTCGTCGATTTTTCGAGAAATGTTCAATTTTGTCAACCTTTTATCATTGCTTTATATATGGCGCCACTCCTTCCCCATTGAAATTTTGTGTTTAGAAGTAATATGGTATACAAAGAATATATCAGCAAAAATATTTGTGGGCAAAGGGTGACGCCACTGTTAATTTTTCAGAAACCCGTTACATATTTTGCAGAATTCTGCCTAAAAACAAGTTTTTACGAAAATCATCTATATTTATGACGTCACAAATGATCCAAGTGGTGGAAATCGGTTAAAAAAATTAAGAGTTAGCGTACCAACTCCTTTATAAAATGTTGTATCATTGAATTTTGTGGAATCTGTCTTTCAAAGATGAACAACAGAAAAATACAGATATCTTGCTGTTCAAATTTTGACATTTACAATATCTAATTTTGTTACAAAAGGAATGAGCGTTGAAGAGGCCTTTTAGAATTAATTGAAAAAGATGAAAATTAGTCATATTTCCAATGCATATTTCCTAGTTTACCTGTTATTTCAAATTTTATTAGAGTTTCTCTAATTCTTAGTAGATTTAACTTTTTCCTGATCTGCTGATTATTTTTTATTTCATCAATGTGTGGTTCGTTTGATATCGGTTCCTTATTAGTTAAAATTCAATTATGACGTCAAATTGTCTTGCTTTCCTCTGAATTTTTTTTTGTGATGTAACGGAAAAAAGGCGCTTGGCGAGCCTCGCTTTTCATGCTTTTAAAATTTAAAAATAAACGATATCAAGTGGAGAAATAATGTATCGCACTTGATGCATTGATAGAATCTATATATATACATCATACGAAATCACATAAAGGTTGCACCAAAGAGCTATCAAATTGGCATGGACATTTACGAAAACTCCTTCTATTAGATGAGTATTTTAAAAATGAAAGTTTTTCTTATCTAAATATTTAAAGTATCTGATCTTAAAAGGCAATAACAACATCATGGTTAATTTGTTAATTTTGTTTTATATCTTCATGATTTAAATTTATAAATTTATAGCTGGGCATATTGTTTAAACACCTGTATTCTAATGCACTAATGTTTGGTGAGCTCTAGATGTCTTCTGATAATTTGTATTGCTGTCACATTGACGTATATGTCCTTTTATTCATATTCATTTCTTAACTCTTGTTTTAAATGCAAAAATGGTGTTTTTTATAAAACATCTTGGCATTTGGTATTACTTAAAATCTCCTTTTTTTTTCTTATGTATAACAACAAAAATTCAAAGGCAAAAAAAAAAGATATACCCTGTATGTAAACTGCTCCTTGATAGTTTCAAAATCAATGCATGATTCTTTATTCATCATATTATTGTTTAATAGGTCTTCAGCTATTGCACTTTCCTGCAAATAAAATAACAAACAAATCAATCATACATATTTAGAATATAAACTTAAATATCAGGTAAATTAACTGTTTTTTTTAATCAAGATTAATTGATTGATTAAGGTTTAACACGACTTTTGGCACTTTTTGCTATTTAGTGGCAGTCCGTTTTTATTAGTGGAGTAAGCCAGAACCACCGACTTTCAGTAGGAAAACTAACAATCCTAGTCAATTAAGATTGGAGTCAAATGCACCTGCCACATGTCGGATTCGAACTAACAACCTCAGTGTTGACATACTAGTGATATAGTAGTTGGACTTCTTAGACCACTTGACCATGGAGGCCCCTTTCAAATGTTTTTTTTTTAAATCAAGAATCTTAACCCTTGTCATGCAAGGAATAGGAAGTATATAACCTATTTACTGTAAATTCAGAAATTATTGCGTGCATTTATTATTGCGATTTTGTCATTTTAGACTAAAATGCGATTTTAATTTTTGCGATATTGAGAAAAGTCCTGTTTATTTCATAGAAAAAATTTCAAAATGCGAGTTTAAATTATTGCGATTATAACCCTGTCGTATTTTTCGCACTAATAAAAACATCGCAATAATTTCTGAATTTACAGTATTTGGCTCCAAATAGATTTCATTCATAGGTTTTTCATTGTGATTTAAAATTTACCAAATTTTGCTACAAAACAAAATAGGTAAATGTACTGTACATTTCTTAATAAAATTAAATCAACTGAGTGATCTCCCTTTATATGGCTTAGTACCAAGATTGCATGTGTTGTTGTGCTAAGCTTACCCCCTGACAGATCCGAAAACGGCAAACACGTAACAAACTCATCACTTGAGCTTCTGACAAATATGAAGTGATTTTGTTGAGCAGTATCTGAGCAAAGTGTGACAAAAATTATAATTTAATTCAGAACATTGAAAATTCGAAGTATCGTCAAACATAAAGTAGGTATATGAGTTTCTGACAGATTTGACAAGTGCTCACATGTTTCAACTCAAGCTGCTAATCAAACACAAAGTAATTCTCTTTAGTAATTTCTGAGAAAAGTGTGACGAAAAATAAATATTTGTTAGACAAATGGACAGACAAATAGCAGGACAGACAAGGTGATTGTAATTTAAGGAGTATTATATTCAATATAAGAGGGCACTGGTTCCTAGACGTTTGGTAAAACAAACACAAGTAAGTCTAATGTAAGTGATATACAAATTACCAAAATAGTTTACTTATTTACAAAGTTACAGACCTATTTAGTCTAACAAATGTACTAATTTCTTGTAATATCTTTATGACTGTGCCCAAATTAGTGGTTCTATACCTATTAGCTTACCTTGTAAATTACATGAACATTTTCTATTTTGGGTGAGGTAGCATCAGGATTAGCAAAGTCTTCATGTATAACAATGTAACCACTGCTGTCTAATACAAAACAACTGAAAAGTAATAAGATCATGAAATAATTTGAATAACCACAGCTATCTTCTGTGAAAAGCAACTGTATGGTAAAATTTAAAATAAAAAGGGAGAGATTATGCATGACAATCTTTTTTCATACAAAATGTAGTAACAAGATACAAAGCATATTAATATTTCAGCAAAAATGGATAAGATTTAATTTTCTTTAATAGAATTTTAACAACCATTTTCTTGATGACCTAGAATATATCATAATTTTAACCATGGTATCTATGATGAGTTTATTTACATCCACTGGGTCGATACCACTACTGGTGGAGGTTTCCTCTACATGGGTATCACCAGCCCAGTAGTCTGCACTTCTGTGTGGACATGAATTTTCGTTGATATGGTTATAATTATAAATTAACTGTTAACAAATATTTGAATTTTCGAAATACTCAGGATTTGTCTACCCCAGGAATAGTATGAATAGATTTCCTTAGCTGTATTTGGCAAAACGTTTTGGAATTGTGGGTCCTCAATGCTCTTCAACGTTGCACTTTATTTGGCTCTTTTAACTTTTTGGATTCGAGAGTCACTGATGAGTCTTTTGTAAAGGAAATACGTGTCTGGCGTTAAAAATTTTAATCATGGTAGCTATGATGAAATCTTTTTTGCAATACATTGAAAGTACTATCAAACGATAAAAGGGGTAGAAATAAGGTGATTTTTCTGTCAAGAAGGGAGATTTTGACTGTCTCCCATGTAACAGGTTCATACAGGGGATTTGAAATTTTATCGGAAAAAGAGGGCATATCCATTCTAGAACTGCTGCAGACATGCTATTAGTGAAGGTTTGAAAAATACACATCTACAATCTGAACAGTTTAGAAAAAGAAATATAAACTGTTGACACAGAGATATGTATCTCCTTTTGTAATTTTGAATGTATAAATGCAAATATTGAATCCAAATGTGAATATTTAAACATATAAACTATGCAAAACATTCAAAGTCAATGAAACATGATCTAAGGTGCAGGATCTAATAATCTCCATGGAAAAGATAAATGCCAATGCTTTATAAAATAGTATACCAAATACCATTAACTTCTCATAAGTGGTTACCTAATCACAAACTTTAACTTGTAAACAATGTAAAAGTTTTAAAGTCAATGAGCCTAAATAGGGGTTGGGGTCAAATAATATCCATGGAAAAGAAGACTTACAAATGCTAATACTATCATTGACTTAACATGAGTGGTTCCGCTTAAACTGATATAATCACAAACTTTAACATTTAACTGTAAACTATGAAAACATTCAAAGTCAATAGACCATGACTGAGGGGGCCGAGCCAAATGATCTCCATTGCATTAAGATGGCCAATTTTTATGCATTTGCATACCAAATACCATTAACCTACTACTAGTGGCTCCATATAAACAGACCATATTACAAACTAATACAAGTAAACTAAGCAAAGGTTTCAAGGTCAATGGACCATGACTGAGGGGGTAAGGCCAAATAATTTCCATGGAAATGAGATGTGCCAATGCATATACAACTACATGGCAAATATCATGGACCTACCACTAGTGGTTCCATTTAAACTGACCTAATCACAAACTAATACATGTTAAGTAAGCAAACGTTTCAAGGTCAATAGACCGTGACTGCGGGAGCAGAAACAAATGGTCTCCATTGAAGTGAAAAGTACCAATGCTAATACAACTGCTTACCAAATATCATTGGCCTATCACTAGTGGTTCCCCATAAACTGACCTAATCACAAACTAATTCATTGTTGAAGCCATTGCCGAAGCCGCCGTCGGAAACAGATTTCGTCAAAGACCTATAGTTGACCTCTTCATGTTTTCATTTATTTTTCAATTTTCACTCACCTGTACTGTTGTATATTTGACTTTCCTGTATTGTTGAATATTTTGACTTACCTGTACTGTTGTATATTTTGACTTACCTGTACTGTTAGGTATTTTGACTAACCTGTACTGTTGTATTTTTTGACTTACCTGTACTGTTGTGTATTTTGACTTAGCTGTACTGTTGTATATTTTGACTAACCTGTAGTGTTGGGTATTTTGACAATCTGAGTAAGTGTTCTGCATCATCTGATAAAAATAGTTGATTGTAAAATCTGTCCCAATCACTGCTACAGTCTGACCAGATGCTGGTCCACTTCCACTAAAAAAGTGTAAATGTAAATACGCATTAATTCAGTAACAATTATTTCAAACATATTCAGGATGAAATCAATTATTTTGTGACATCATGTTTTATTCTTTAAGGTATGTTCAGATCTAAGCAACATTAGCTCAGAGTTCAAATCTGTCCTCTACAATGCTCAATAAAAAATATCAAAACTAATATACACCAAACAATTCTATCTTTATAATGCATTTCTTCTTGTTATTTGCGTTACCCGTGTTGCTAATGCTAAGGTTCAATTTCCAGACACAATGTTGACTTTCTGGAGTTCTGACGCAAACATTTGTCCAAGTATGCAATGCTGTGAGTCCGTGAAAATCTTGTTTGAAACTGGTATCATATAGATGTATTGACTGACTTTATTTTGTTTTGCTGCTGTTTCATTGATGAATAACACTTCAGCTCCTTTTATACATAGGTATGAGAACAGTATCATGTCACCATTTACGTAGAGCAGAACTGGTTATGTTTACCTTATGATCAAATGTAATGTGTAATGAAAGTAGAATATGGCTGTTGAATTCTGGATCCTTACTTGGTTTAAAAGACTATTTCCAGATATATATTAGTTATTTGTGTCATAGGGTTGCTGTCAATACACTCATCATAGATACCAGTATTGTAATTTTGTATTTGCGAAAGACGCGCGTTTCTCAATGGATGTATAGCCTTATATCTTTTAATATATATACTTATTTTAGATAACAAAATCTTCAAATATAAAATGCCAAACATAATTTATAAATTCTAAAGCTCCTTTTGTTAGGATTATCTGCCACTTTCTGTAGTAGTTTTACTAAGTGTAATCGGGTACCCAAATCCCAAAAGATCAAGGTAGGAAGCAGACACCTAACCCTTTCCTTTAAGAGCTATCGTTGTTTTGTACCTGTGGTTTGGTACAGATACAATGACTTACCTCCATTCTGTAATAGTTTTACTAAGCGTAATCAGGTACCAAGAGCCCCAATGATCCAGTTAGGTAGCAGACACTTAACCCTTTCCTTTAAGAGCTATCGTTGTTTTGTACCTGTGGTTTGGTACAGATACAATGGCTTACCTCCATTTTGTGATAGTTTTACAAAGCGTAATCAGGTACCCAGATCCCCAAAGATCCAGGTAGGAAGCAGACACCTAATCCTTTCCTTTAAGAGCTTTTGTTGTTTTATACCTGTGGTTAGGTATAGTTACAATGACTTACCTCCTTTTTGTAATAGTTTTACTAAGTGTAATCAGGAACCCAGATCCCAAAAGATCCAGGCAGAAAGCAGACATCTAACCCTTTCCTTTTATAGCTATAGTTGTTTTATACCTGTGGTTAGGTATAGATACAATCACTTACCTCCATTCTGTAATAGTTTTACTAAGCGTAATCAGGTACCCAGATCCCAAAAGATTCAGGTAGGAAGCAGACACTTAATCCTTTCCTTTTAGGGCTGTAATTGTTTTATACCTGTGGTTTGATGCAGATTCAATGACTCCATTTTGTAATAGTTTTACTATACGTAATCAGGTACCGAGATCCCCAAAGATTCAAATAGGATGCAGACACCTACTCCTTTCCTTTCAGTGATATAGTTCTTTTATATCTGTGGTTAAGTACATATATAATGACTTACCTCCCTTCTGTAATAGTTTTACTGAGTGTAATCAGGTACCCAGATCCCCAAAGATCCATAAATGGAGCTGACACCACATCCTTTCTTTTCAGAGCTACAGTTCATTTATACCTGTGGTTAGGTATAGCTACAATGACTTACCTCCCTTCTGTAATAGTTTTACTTAGTGTTATCAGGTACCCAGATCCCCAAAGATCGAGGTATGGAGCAGACAACACAACCTTTCCTTTTAGAGCTAAAGTTCTTTTATACCTATAATAATATAATTATAAGCTGTGGACATGCTGTTGTTCGGTTCATGTATGCAGAGGGCCAGGAGATAAGTGTGACAAAAATACTTGTTCGAAAAATGCACAGACAGACAATGTCAATTCAATATTCAATATAGCCGCACTATTAAAATGAAGGTATAATTTATATATAACTAATATACCAATCATACTAGTAAAATACAAAATTAAAATAACAGTATATAGTTGGTTGCGTCTTTAGAAATTTCTGCATTTACCTTTATCAGAAACACTCCAAAAAATAGAAATCATAGATGAAAAACTACTTTAACACGTAACGAGTTATATGACCAAAAAGGGTCTAAAAGAATAACTTAAGCCATCTTAGGTCAAAGAGAGGCAAATGATACCAAAGGGACATTCAAATGCATAAGTCGAAAATAAACTGACAACGCCATGGCTAAAAAAGAAAAAGACCAACAGACAAACAACAGTACACAAAACAACACAACATAGAAAACCAAAGACTGAGCAACACGAACCCCACCAAAAACTGGGGGTGATATCAGGTTCTCCGGAAGGGTAAGCAGATCCTGCCCAACATGTGGCACCCGTCGTGGTTCTCATGTTAGTACAAACCCGGTGATAAGTCTAATTCGGTAGGTCACATTCGGGGAAAAGATGTCAGGATTGTAATTATGACAATTGGAACATATCCGTTGTCATCTGTGAAATGGATATTCCATAACGGTTAACCAACTCGTGATGGCGTCTTTAAAATTTACGAAGTGACGATTTCAACTTCACCACTTGGAACTCTTGGTTAAATATCTTCCTTGTGAGCTGTAACCCTCAATCAAGGAAATCATGAACGGAAATACAAGCCGTGGAATATCGTATCAACTGGGAGATATAAACTCCGTATGCAGGCGATGCTGGAATGTTGCTACATAGAAATGGAAATTTTACATTCGGGAAGCTGAAATCATCTCTTAAAACTACTAAAACTAAGGTCAACTTTGCCTAAGGAAATTGGAACCTTATTTTTTTGAACAATTCCTAAATTGAAGTCATATAACTAAAGTTTTGGTGATTATAATGTTATGGAAGTCATCGAACCACTGCTGCATATATATACTTAACTATGTCATCTCTGTACATTTTTAAGTCTTTTACAAATCCATTACATATAATTGACAAAAGAAATTTCATTCATTAATTTTTAAGCGAAAAATGTGGCTGCTTATTAACCTGTTGGTTACCTTCATTTTGCGGAAGTTTATATAATTACCAATTGTGACCTTGATAAACAATCAACAGAGAATCATGAAAAAGGTGAAAAATAAGTGAGATAAAAAAAGTGATGTTTATTCGTTTTTTTAATTTTGTTTATGAGTTCCAAATAGTTAATAACACTTTGTCACTACAGTTGTTAAATGATTTGGTGTTTAATTTTTTCTTTCAAAATCAATCAATACTATCTTCTGTCCATGTTTGTTTAATTTATCTTTCATTACGGGGTTTCCCTTCGTATTTGCACTGTTTGATTGCTGAATTTCTATCGAGATGTGTCATAGATAAGGTCATTGCATACAGAAAAGCTGTCGGCAAATTACAGAATGCGGACAATGATTTAATTGCAGTACAATTTTGAAGATTTGGATAAAATAAAGGATTTTTTTTTTGAAAGAAAGTCGAAGTTCACATGTTTTATCGTATCACATAGCCATTCAAGTATATTAAACATTTTTGTTAAATTTGAGGTAATATATGAATTGAAAGGAACAGTCAGGTAAAGGAAGGTTAACAAAATCTATAATGTAATAATAAATAAATTGAATGAATTGTTCATCTGATATCAACTTACCATGCCCTTCTTGTGTGGTCATAGTTTTTAGGTAATTCAACACCAGGATACAGTCTCATCACCCCATCTGCTGTACCGATATATCGCCATACAACAAATTCAGATAACTCTCCACTAGTCTTCCAGATATTTTCAGCAGGATAAGTCGAGGAAACAGAATTTAATATGGATTCCTGAAAGACAGTTTATACCTAAAATATTATTCACATTAAAGAACAAGAAGTTTTATATTTTCATATAAATTGTTAATACAGAGATATGTCTCGCCTTTTTTGTTATTTTGATAGTAAATTTCTTATGTTGAAATCAAAATAGCGATACTTGTACATGTAAGTTATGCAAAATATTGAAAGTCAATGAACAATGACTGAGGGTAAAGAGCCAAACAATCCCCTTGGAAATGAGATGTACCAATGCTCATACATCTGCACACCAAATATCATTGACCTACCGCAAGTGGTTCCCAATTAATTGACCTACATGTAATCACAAACTAATACATGTTAACTAAGCAAAAGTTTCAAAGTCAATAGACAATGACTGAGGGAGCGGCGCCAAAAAATCAGCAAATGTGAAATGGTTAGTATCAAACTTGACGTCATTTTCTTCATACGGAAACAAAATACTTACATTTGAAAAGGATATTGGTTGAAAGGTTCTCAAAGTATTGAATGGAATTGATCGGAAGGCTAGTGACCTGCCAGCTCACACTTCGTCTGTTCTATCCAAAATAGTATCGGGGTTTCTACCAAAACATTTGGTTTAATTTAAACACAAATGACTTCACATATACTGACCTTTAACCCTGGATTATTCAGGACATTTTTCCCTGTTAAAAAATCTTCATACTTGGTAATCATTGCTTTAGTTTCATCTACATTTAGGTAATTGAATGGCTCTAGGAATGCACCAGGAGTCAACATAACAACAGATTTATCTGTAACATAAAACTTATTCAATTTGTTTTTCAATTACATCTGCACTACATGTAAATCAGCAATTTTGGATGAATACAAAATTTTACTCAGCCAGAACAATTTGCATTTATAGAAACATTCATCCAATGGCTGACTTTTCACTTATCTGTAATTTGCCATTACAAAATCTAAAGGATCATGGGTAATTTGATTGTTCTTTCATGAAGTAAAAATATCTCACATCCTTGGTAGAATTTCCATTGTTTAGGACATTTTAAGCAATCACAATGTTTTGAATTACCCTTTAACAAATATTACCCAGAATGCATTTGATTCTAAAATTGTGAATAATTTAAGTATATACGTGCTATTAGAATTATAAAGAATCTATAACTAACACTCTATAGCAGATAACGTTTGAACAGATGAATTGATTTCAGGTGAAAATAATTAAACTGTATTATACATCTGGAAATAAGCTAAACATTACACTTTTTGTGAAACAACAAGATAAATGCGTTATCTGTAAGATTGAGGGATATATCAAGAGTCAAATAACATACGTTAAATCGAACATGAATTGAAAATTACATTTTGTGTTCACTTTTTTCCCCTTTTAGTGCTGTATTTTTAGGACATGATATTTTTTATGCTGTTTTAAAAATACTAAAACTTTAATTTTACTACAAAATGTATGAATACATTTCTGTCGATAAAATGGGCATTGCTCATTTCCTTTTTCGCCAATATGGATAAAATCAAAGCATCGTCAGTGCTGTGATTCAGCCAATTTTCAGCTTATAAGATATTTTACTCTGATCTCAATTTCAATTTCTTTTTTTCATTATACAACCCCCGAAAAACATTTCAAGACCGCCATCAGAACTTTGGATAAGTTATTTTGGCGAAAGATGAAGAAGAATTTCTCAATATTGATGCACAATTTAAAAGTGCACTGATTTTTCACATCTGTTTTCTAAATATTTTTGAATTTATTAATTTTGATATGGGTGGAAAGAAGAATTTCCAGAAAGAGGCATTAAAAATGTACATTTTAACAACAGCAACAAAATATTAAGTATTTATTAAAATGTGACGAAGACATAATCGTTCAATCAGTTTAATTCAAGTCTGGAGCAGGCATGCCAGTAACTGCTAGTAGTCCTTTGTTAATTTATGTATCATTGTCATTTTGCTTAGTTTCTTTTGTTACCTATTCTGACATCGGACTCGGACTTCTTTTAAACTGAGTTTTACTGTGCGTATTGCTGTGTGTTTGTTTTTTCTACATTGGCTAGAGGTAAAGGGAGAGGGTTGACATCTCACTAACCATGTTTAACCCCGCCACATTGTTGCGCCTGTCCCAAGTCAGGAGCCTCTGTCCTTTGTAAGTCTTGTATGATTTTAATTTTTGTTAATTTATATGTTTTGGAGTTTAGTATGACGTCCATTTTTACTGAACTAGTACGCATTTTTGTTAAGGGGCCAGCTGAAGCCCGCCTCCGGTTGCTGAATTTTCTCGCTGTGTTTAAGACTCATTGGTGGCCTTCGGCTGTTTTCTGCCCTTTGGTCGAGTTGTTGTCTCTTTGACACATTTCCCATTTCCATTCTCAATTTTATTCATTCTTCATTAGAAAATGTAAAAAGAAATAAATTTCTTTAATTCCAATACATGTACCTGCACAAATACCTTATTCCATTAAATATTAACATAATGGTAATAAAACAACTAAATATTATTGCAGATTAGACTCAGTTATGCATTTGTTTTATTGTTTTAAGCAAATAACTGAACATTTTAACTTAAATTAATCTAGATTCTTGATTTTTTGTTATATTTCATCTACATATTTTATATTGTGTATGTTCTTTAAAAATCATATTTTTAATCCTCAACAATTCATCCTTCACACATAATTTACAGAATATTTTTATTTAGTATGGCTCAAAAGTTATATTATAGAAATACTATTGATATCAAGAATATTGTGTATTGAGCTGAATAATAAAGTGTGTTTTATTATGTAATACAGAAGTATTAAATGTGGTCAATTAAGATTGGCAGTACCTGGTATATTGGTACATTTAAAACTAACTGCTTTAAATGTAATTGTTTGTAAATCATGACAATTGTCAATCCTACTGGTATTGTATCAGTCCTCTTAATTTGCACAAGAAAGAATTGGAATAATAGTATTAGACCCAGATGATTTTGGGACATGCTAAGGAAAATCACACCGAAAAATTACCAAATGTTTTATTATTATTTTTTTCAATAAGGTAGGGTCGGAGCCTTTAAAATAGGGCCAGCTGAGCAACTTTCAACACACCTATTTTTGTTTGGCCTTAGAACTTTAAATTTATTGATAAAACAAAAATATATAAAAAAATATTAAATTAAACAAACAATATTATGTATTATTTGTATCTTTAAATATGGTATTCAGACTTGTATAGTACGTGATCTTTTTTCTCGAAAATTAATATTGCCAGGCAGGGGTACGGATTATAGAGTACGGTAAGCAAGAAATAAGAGATACGCTTATAATCACACTTTATTTGAATGTACCGTAGTTTCATAAGACGTTTTCAAGCATTTACAAAAAGTTTTTTTCCTGAATTCTCGTCACGAAAATGGGGGTGCGGACAATGTACCAATGCGAACTTTACAAGCTTGAATAAGGTAGTCTTTAATAAAGATTAAATAATGGTTTATTAGTTCACTTTGAAAGGCTTTTTAAAGTGAACTAGATTTTTTTCCTCGATTTTGCGGGAAAGAAAAGGGATATAAATATTCATAAATGCGTACTAAACGTGGTCGATTACAGTAAAAAAAGTACACATGCATAAATGTCTCGCCTGCCTTACTGACCATGATTGATTTTACTTTGAAAGTCTTAAAGATAAGGATTAACAATAAGTATCACATAAACTTAACATTGTCAATGATCCATGTGGTCAAGGTCTGATTAAATCTGCAAAATAAAAATGATAAAAACTCAAATCATATTATAAAACAGTACCTTTTGTACCCAACCGTGTAAAATGTCGGCAGTTTGACCCTTCTGCTGTGGTATAGTCCAATCGATGATAAACAAAACTGTCTTGTGTAACAGTCTGGGGGTCTAGTATAGGCTGTTTATCGTTATCACCAACGACAATACACACTGAAAAATTACTCTGGCTGACCTACAAAAATAGAAACCTTTGAACAGAAAGTCTGAACCTGTAGTTTTGTCATTAAATCTAAACATTTATGAACTGAGTTTTTCTTCATACGGTTGTATGAGTTAAATAATGTAAATCCCAAAGTAGGCGAGACTGTTAATTTATATAAAGCAATCCTGAAATATCAAACTTCATACCTTATACTTTTTACGCCATGCCTTTCTGAAGCGTGATTCGCATTAATGATGAAATTCTGATCTAGATGAACATGTGATATGTTTAATTCTCTTCAGTTCGTACCATATTTTGGTTGTTTATATATAACAAAAGCTGTGCCACGAATACATTGCACGACCTTTTTGTGCATATTGAAATTGTTGAAAGAATAAAATGGGATGTTAAGAAGTCATTTAATCAGAGGCAAATAAATGGCTCTGTAGAAAAACATGTCTGAGATACCCTTAGGCATATAAATATTGCATCAAATATGACTGTTAGAAGTCCCGTAACTTGGGAATGACACAATCCGGAAAATTTTCAAAATTAAAAGCAACTAAACATTCACTTATACTAATACTAACAACAGTGTTAAGTTTGTAGTAATTTTATCAAACATACTAGAGCTAGTGCATGACACTTAATTAATGACCTTTATTTATCAAACTGCCAAACTTTAGAATGTCATACCAGAACTTTTTTTAAATCAAACAGTTTGTTATGATTACCAATTCCAACAATTATGTAACGTTTCTAGTAAATCAACCCAAACAAACTCAAGTTATGGTACAATATGTGAAAAAATTACTTAAATCTCACAATTAAATTTCAATAACTTTAGAACCACAAACCAGAAAATTTTTAAAATCGAAAGGAATTTTCATCTAACAATCTAAACAATAAGGTAAAATTTGCAGGACATCAACCTAGGAATACTGGATTAAGTGCGCGATATGTGAACAGTTTCCTTAAATTTAACGGTTAAAATCGAGTAACTCATAAACAACAAAGCCCAAAAATTAAAAGGGAGCTTTCAATTCTCATGTTGTTTTTAATTAATATGATAATTGATTTACAAAGTGTTGACTGAGGGATTGGCTGACATCGGTATATCATAAAACATCTGTTAGACAAAATTTGAATACTTGTTTTAGAATTTCTTATAGTCATCTTTATAAAACATTCTGATACATAAGTATTTGCTCACTTCAATAACTTCTCAGTATCAATTCCCAACAGAAACATCTTCGATGATATATTATAAGTTACTTACTGGTTTCCAATAATAATGTGACAGGACATTTTCAGTTTCAATTCCCTCATACAGCATGTTACCCCGGGGGACTGTCCTTTTCGAATAAAATGTTTCATTTCCTGTGTTTCCACTACAAGAATAGTTATAATAAAACAATAGCATTTCAATTCTCCCTGTCAATGGACATATTGTATCTGTCCAAGGGAAATAACTCTTATATATATTATTTGGTTCTTTCAGACTTTCAATAATGCCCAACAAGAAATGTAGGTGATCACTAATAATGCAATTTTCGATAAAACAACTTATTCCAAGGGGCATAACTTCTGTAAAAATTGCTTATCAGGACTGATTATTCAACTTCTCAAAAACTTTGCAAATATGAGAAAATTCATGAAAATCTATTTACATTTAAAAGGGCATACAAACAATTGATCAGCACTATTTTTTCACTTCATTTAAATTTCATAAAAGCTTGAGAGTGCTTATAACGGAAATACATTTTTCAATTGAGCACAACTCTTTTAAAAATTGTTGATCAGTACTGATTTAAAACTCATCTGAAACATTGCTAATATGACACATCAAAAGTCTTGGAAGAATTAAAAATGTGAAAGCAATTACAAAACCAGATAGACAGACATACAGAAGCCATCTATTTCTATGTCCCTGTGACATGAACCGAAGGAACAGGAAAAGGCAAAATCAAAACCACAAACACATCAAACGAATGGACAACAACTGTCATATTCCTGACATGGTACAGGCATTTTCTTATGTAGAAAATGGTGGATTGAACCTGGTTTTATAGCGCTAAACCTCTCTCTTATATGACAGTCGCATCAAATTCCATTATACTGACAACGACGCGTGAATAAAACAAACAGACATAATAGGTAAAAATGTAAAATAGGGGTACAGCAGTCAACACCGTGTCACAATCTTAATCAGAACAAAAACGAACAAATATTTAACAAAGAAGTCCAAAAAGCATATATTACATTTAACAACCTCGTTCATTGCTTACTTATTTTTGTATTTTATTTATGTATGCCAAATCAGCCCATAAAGGATCGAGGGATTTTAAGCTCTGGGACAAAATCGTAATTTTAACATTAACTCTGGCGTAGAATAGAGTGTTTGAAGTCAGAATGTAAACGTCACACAGATAGAGATATAAAATAATTTTGTCGTTCAAAGTATGCAAAAATTATAATACAAAAATATCACAATGGTGGGATGTTTAAAGTACAGAGACACGTCATATGTATCAAAGAAACATAAAAAGTCACACGGACAAAACACACAAGCAAAAATGAAAAATAATACATACAACACAATGACGGGATGCATAAGTACAGAGCCACGTCAGATGTATATCACCAAAAACAGGCTAAACAGTAAAAGTAATATCAATAAAGACAAATAAAAGAACACTTGAACACGTTATTAAGATGATAAACAGCGTCAGTACGCAGAATCTATACTTCAAGACCATCATGTATTATTTGCGAACTTGATACGGAATATTTATCAACAAGGTCTTGGTACCTTCCGATGAACTTTTTAAGAAAAAGGACGAGACGTTCTTTGACATACCCCTGGTTAATCAACTTTCTGCTCAGACACTGGTGACGTTTTACAAAGTCTGAGTAGGAGCTGCAAGCTCTTGCATACCAAATAAGTTGGGAAATGTATATCTCGTAAGCAGGTGAAGCATTGACAATGGATAGTATCTGACACAGGATAGTATCTGCCATAGGATAATATCTGCCAGAAGATAGTATCTGACACAGGATGGTATTTGACACAGGATAGTATCTGACACAGGATAGTATCAGACACAGGCTAGTATCTGAAACAGGATAGTATTTGACACAGGATAGTATCAGAAACAATGTGTCCCCGTGCTTGTGGTGTATGCTCTTGTATTTTTGGGTTGTTTGCCTGTGAGAGAGCTTTACTTCGATGGAGAGTTGTCTCATTGGTACTCATACCACATCTTCTCATATCTATATAGTCTGACACTGGCTAGTATCTGACACAGAATAGTATCACATACCGGATAGTATCAGACACCGGATAATATCTGTTTAGAATAGTATCTTTTATCACCAAAAAAGAGCTATAAAAATAAGAATATGTGGTTTAATTGCCAATGAGACAACTCTCCACCAGAGACCAAATGACACAGAAATCAACAACCATAGATCACAGCAAGGCCCAAAACAACAAGTAAAACTCATACCACAGACAGCTATAAAAGGCCCCGAAATGACCAATGCAAAACAACCAAAAACGAGAAAACAAATTTCCCGATCATTGTAAAAGCAATTAACGAAAAACAAATATGATACGAAGCAACAAACGACTTTACTTACATTTTCATTGATTCTATAACCATGGTAGCTGATGTAGATCGTTCTAAATGTTCAATGTTTACATAAATTGGGTCATCCTTCACACTATCGGGCAATGGTAACAATGGATGAATGAGAGTTCTCCCTGTTCCATCAATGACGAATGCATATGATAACTCTCCTTGTCTAAAGTATGAAATATCAGACATGATGTCACTGACAGTCGCATCAGAACATGCCACGCCCACCAATTCCCCACCAGGTCTATAGACAGGCAGGCATATAGAAGAAATTAAACCTATAATTACATTGTAATTAAAAAATAGACAATTATAATAATACAAAAGAAAGGTTATTACTCTAAACTTTAGCGAGTCTAAACCAACATTTTTCGCATCTACTTTATTTGACGTTTAGCTCTTTCCAATTTAAAAATTTACTTGATGTATTTAAATAATGTCCAAGTTTTACATATTCACAACAATTTGTATTCACGATATTTTACTACTTGCCAAAGTTACAACAATAAATTTCTCGCTAAAATTAGTTTACAGTATTAAATTATAGGTCAGCATTTGGGATGTGTTTTCAATCAATCAGTATTTGCTTTAAACTAAATGAGTAACCATTATTATTTACTGATGGAATATGTATAATCCAGATTAATTTTAAATGCTGCCAAATGTATGCTTTTTATCCCTGCAGTAAGCAAGGACTTAAAACAGGATAGCTAGCTAGCTAGAAAATATGCTCCAGGACACACCTTTATTCAATACTCATTGTAAGATATATATAAATATCTATTTTTATATTAAATAAATAACAAAATGTAATTTGAGCTACAGCTGACAAATATATACCTCAGCTCTTGCTTTTCAGTCAAATAAAATTATTAATACAAATACCGAACGAAAAATGTGGAAGCAGACAACATAGAGTAGATAAGCACATGATTAAGCTAACCAATAACAAACCTTGTACAAAATTTCAAGAAACTATAACTTCTAGTTTCTGATTAAAATGTGATAAGCATTTCATATACGTGCATAAATTGAAGAGCATATACGTATTAGGCAAACTGAAAGTATATAAGTAACGGATCTAAAAATGTGTTACAATGCAAAATGCTTGGTATCTAAATATTATCAAGAAGCTTTGATTAGCAGCTGTATTTGTACGAGGCTAAGACACAGGCGTAATGCCAGCTTCAGTGAGCTGTTACTCCTACTTTGAGCTGAGTACAAATAAAGCTGATATTTAAAAACACTCAACAGTTGGTGTCGTTATCCTGCAACTAATTTTGTACATTGTTTTGCTTTGAAAGACAAACAACTCACATTTATTTCCGATTTAAAATCCTTTGAGGCCCGCGTAGTAATATTAAAATCACACAATCAGCAGATGACGGATAATTCGAAAAGAACCGCGCATGGTCAACACTAGTACATCGCTCAAAGTAAGTAAGTATTTATTATTATATAAAAACTTATTTCAACAGTACAAAAAAAATACAAAACAATGTCCGATTAAAGACAAAAGTGTTTGCTTTGTCCTACGCTTCAGAATTTCAACTGTCCGTGTAATCACTGATTATTGACATTATTGCATTGTTGGTTTGTGATCTACAAATTCAAGTTTTCACAGACTGAGCAATACGTCATTGGAATGTGATTGCAATACATATTCTGAGGTCAAGAAACTTCATACAACACTTGTCAACAGCAATACACCAAAAAGTCCGGCAGTGGGCGGTAGTATATAATAATATCTGCTGGGCTGTTAATGTATCATAAGACACCCAATTGCAGTGAAAAAATAAAAACTTCTGATATGTGCAACAATGCCAAGAACATATAACAGTTTCCAACAAACAGGTTGTAAAAAGTGTTAGATCTGTAATTGTGTTATGCACATACCTGCGAACTTTTCCTTATCTTCATGTTTTGATAGAGTATAAACATGATTGTGTTTAAATTTTTAACTCCTCTGAAACTTTTTTAAGAGCATTACGTCTATATAATTGAGTTTTATAAGGGCCAGGTCAAACCTCTCATGTTTCAATGTATATACCAAGTATAAATATTGTAGTTGCTGGGAAAAATGTGACTGAAATGTTCAACTGACGGACAGAAACTTTAATCATTAAAAGCTAACATTAAACATGGGAAATATTCTCTAAAAAACACAAACATACCTATCCCAAACAAATCCTGGTATGGTACAGAAAAGATTGGGTTCTGAATTTCTTCATTGCTACTGAAACGATTATAATATGATGCCATCGAAGATCTGAGGAAGTCAGGATTATTAATGTGCTTGAATTCGCCGATCTTTTAACATGTGAAAAGAAAAATAAAGATATTGGAATTTCTATTATATGTGTACTCAATTTAAGCTATTTAATTAAGAACAATTTGAGCATTTCAATGTTAGCAGGTAATTTTTTTGGTCCGATGAATCCATTCGTTTAATGTTATGTCAAAGATTATATATTTAATATCTGGTTGAAATATGTTACCTGTCTTCATACTGTGGATTCATTATTATTCGTTGGATACCAATTTCCGTGGTTTTCATGGGTATGGGTGAACCACGAATTTAAATGTTCAACGAATTACATATTTTCTATCAGGTTGTATGCAAACCTCGAAATCAAATATCCACGGAAAGGCAAGTTTTCCGCAATCCATGAAAATTGGTACCCACGAAAATAAATGAATTCACAGTAGTTGTTAACTCTTATTATGTAAATCTGTCATATAGTTAGTAACATACTAAACTCTTTTAGCCTGATATATTTATTCAGATCTGAAATTGGGACAAAAAATAATAAAAGTTTATGAAGCCTAAAACGTATGTCAAAGAACCCCTTTCATAAAATACTTTTTTGCCAATTCAACCAGCTATCCCACGATAACATTGTATGTTTTGTATTGAAAATCAATAGTTTGAATAAATATTTTTTATAAATTTGGCTGTTTGATTTCCTTGACTAAATTGTATCATATTTTTTTTTCAATTTGGGGCCTTTCAAAGCTGACTATATCATGTATATGGTATGGTTTTTAGTTTATTTTTTGAAGGTCGTACTGTGACTTTTAAAATTACATCATAGTAATTTGAACTCATTTTAAGTACTCTTAAACTTTAGTAATGGCACAATAAAGATAAGAAGATTCGGTATAAATGCCAATAAAACAACTCCCCATCCAAGTCACAATGTGCTTAAGTACACAATTATAGGTCAAAGGACGGCCTTGAACACGACGCCTATGCTCAATCCGAACAGGAAGCTATAAAGGGCCCCAAAATGACGATTGTAAATCAATTCAAAAAGTAAAACCAACAGTCTAATCTATATATTAAAAAAACGAGAAACGAAAAACACTTATGAATCACATCAACAATCGAAAACCACTGAACAACAGGTTCCTGACTTAGGACAGGTGCAAACAAATGCAGCGGGTTTTCATAATACATGTGTACCTGTATTTCACCATAACTAACATCAGTTCTTGTCTGAGCGGCCATATCTTTCAACATCTGTATGGCATTTGTACTTAATTCTGAAATAAAATTATAAGCAATGCAATAGATTATATTGTTGTATTAAATTATTGTAGTGTTTTTGCTAAACCGTACATAATAATTTTTGGATAAAAAATTAAATGGTCTACATTGTTTTAATTATAATATTTGTTAATAAGTCTATATACGGAACTCAAGTGTCTCATTTGTTATTTGGTGCTATCAGTTTAATTTCTTGTGTGATATTTACTGCCAAAAACTAATTGCATTTAAAATTTATCAATAAAATGTGTGTTAAATAACCAAACTTCTTTACTCAGATGCGATTTCATGAGGACGCTTCTGTGCAAGTTTTCAAAATTTTTGTTTGGCTATTGTTGTTTGATCTTTAATAGGCATTTGGTCCAGTTTCTAAAAATTCCATGACGCGTTGATTAAGTTATAACAGTCTAGAAAACTTTAACCACAGACTGTACCTTTAAGGTCCTCAATGCTCTTCAACTTCGTACTTCATTTGGCTTTTTTTAACATTTATGATTAGAGCGTCATTGATGAGTCGTTTGCAGACGAAACGCGCGTCTGGCGCAAATACAAAATTTCAATCCTGGTATCTATGATGAGTTTATTTACTGTAAACTACCAATAACACTAACTCAGTAATATACAGAAAAATGAAGAAAAAAATTATATTTCAAAATTTTGCTCTGAAACATGAAAAGGCTTCTGTCGTCCTAGTTTTATATAAATCCATATATTGTCAATCTTAATGTTTCTACAAGCATAAGATACTGGTACTACTCTTTAATTCTGAATTTTATTTGTTCATTTTTAAATTATAAAAACACTTCAGGTAAAATTTAGCACAAATCATAAAAAACGGTAATTGGGCCGATACTTACGTTGTCCAAGACCATATGTCAATATCACAACGCAGTTGTTCATCTTTTTATTTTCTTCCTTTATAACTTCAAGTGGTTCTCCACCAGCAGTTTTTTCGCCATCAGTTAAAAACAGAATAACTTTTCCTGTAAAAGTAATTTTACAGGAAAAATTAATTTTCATTCTTAAATGATAATCTTAACTTCTCGACAACACATTTTTATATGGTATTAAATACTGTTATTAATGCCATGCTGAGTTTCCTTATTTTCCAATACATATTTGGGTAAAAATGTATTCATCTAAGGCATGTAATGCAATACAATTTTCTGACGTATCTCAAACTACCAATATTGCCAAACAATTGCTAAAGAATGAATCATCACCAATCTACTGTTAAGCAACTGTTCAGGATTTCAATTATTCTGATTATCGCGGAGTCATTTCTGGTTTGATTTTAACCAAATATAAAAAAGGAATTGTCACAGCTTTGTGGTTGTATTTTTGTTTTGGAGAATTTTGTTTTTCTGATGTTACATTATACTTTGTATTATACTTAACATCCGATAGCAATTAAAAATGTAATGTATACAAGATGAAGTCCCATCTATCTATTGATTGTATATGTCAATATTAGTGACAATGCTTGAGCAAACATTTATACTAACAAAGCAAGTAAGCCAAAAAAAAAAAAACGTTTACTTACAAGCATTAGGAAAATTGCTCTAAAGAAAATAGCAATTTGATAATGCTTCATAATATGGATCTCAAGAAGTTTTTTATGATATATTTAACTTATACATGTTATATTCAAATTATAGTTTACCTCTATCGACAGATATGTCTACCGTGTTCACAAACAACTTGAATGCTGCTTTCATTGCTGCTTCATAATTAGTAGATCCGCCGCTTCTGATTATACTAACTTGACTCTTCATGAATTTAATATTAAGGGGTGTGGCTTTTGCTAATTCTGTTCCATGACACGCTCTGCCAATTATACTAGATCCTAGTATGTTTGCAGAGGAGCTGAAAGCTACTACCCCAAACTGAAAAAAACAATGTTCATAATTAAAGATGTTCCCTACTCTGTTTCAAAATAACAAGTTTTTTTTAAAAGACTGTTATACATTGATAGTATCTAAATAAAGGAAATAAAACAGCAGAACAAAAAATGATGGTCTGATTGCTTGTTTTTGAGATATAAGCCATTGAAAATTAGGCAGGAAATAATTCTGTCTAGTCTTTTCATACATTAATATTATCACCTTTTGTCTTCAAAAACAATGATTTTGTATGATTTTTTAATATGGCTTTTAAAACTACATTTATATATGTAATAAAATTATGAAAAGAAAGCAGGGGGTAGCGGGCAAACTTTTTAATGGCACTGCATGGATGAAATCAGAAGATTCCGAATGTCTTACAAAAACTCAAACACAAGCGGAACAAACATCTCTAGGGAAAAAACGCAAAAAAATGATAATAAATTGTCATTAAAGGGCAATGTATACATTAAGAAGTTGTCAGACGTTTTCCTCCGTATTGTCTTAACTGTAGATCTTGTTTTTCTGATTATTTTTGCTCATTTAATTTTCTGCTATCTTTTTATGATAATTGTTAAGATAAAAGGCAAACATGCAAACATTTAGTAAAATCCTCATAAAAGGGGAATAAGTCCAATAAGAAGACTGACGATTTCGACCCTGTAAACTTATTGTGGTACTGTTTTTGCTGATCATTTTTGCATTTTAAAGTTTATGTCTATCTATTATAGTTTTGAAGATAATGTAAGGCATTAATAAAGTTAAGGTAAAACTTGTCCTTTAAGGTAAATAACTGCTATCAGAAGTCGTCTGACAGTTTTGGCGTATTTGGACAACTGGTTGAGCTCAACATTATAAACATTTTTGCCCATGTCTGATTTTTTTTTATATTTATAACGTTTTCAAATAATAGACAAAACTTTTCATGTCAGCCATCTTGATTGGTAGGTGAGGTCATTGGACACATTTGTAAAACTAGATAAAACAATGACGATTGTTGCCAAGTTTGATTTCATTTGGCCCAGTAGTTTCAGAGGAGAAAATCAAGACGAAGACGACGGCAAGTGATAAGTGAGCTAAAACGAAATCATTTGAACATTTTAAAGGTCACAGGTTCTTTTAAATGACACATCAGGTCATAAGGTTACCAGCAAAACCCACCAAGGTAGTAGTTTGGCTTAAACTTAAAATTAACTAAAAGAAAGTAGGGGGTAGCGGGCAAACTTTTTAATGGCACTGCATGGATGAAACCAGAAGATTCCGAATGTCTTACAAAAACTCAAACACAAGCGGAACAAACATCTCTAGGGAAAAAACGCAAAAAAATGATAATAAATTGTCATTAAAGGGCAATGTATACATTAAGAAGTTGTCAGACGTTTTCCTCCGTATTGTCTTAACTGTAGATCTTGTTTTTCTGATTATTTTTGCTCATTTAATTTTCTGCTATCTATTTATGATAATTGTTAAGATAAAAGGCAAACATGCAAACATTTAGTAAAATCCTCATAAAAGGGGAATACGTCCAATAAGAAGACTGACGATTTCGACCCTGTAAACTTATTGTGGTACTGTTTTTGCTGATCATTTTTGCATTTTAAAGTTTATGTCTATCTATTATAGTTTTGAAGATAATGTAAGGCATTAATAAAGTTAAGGTAAAACTTGTCCTTTAAGGTAAATAACTGCTATCAGAAGTCGTCTGACAGTTTTGGCGTATTTGGACAACTGGTTGAGCTCAACATTATAAACATTTTTGCCCATGTCTGATTTTTTTTATATTTATAACGTTTTCAAATAATAGACAAAACTTTTCATGTCAGCCATCTTGATTGGTAGGTGAGGTCATTGGACACATTTGTAAAACTAGATAAAACAATGACGATTGTTGCCAAGTTTGATTTCATTTGGCCCAGTAGTTTCAGAGGAGAAAATCAAGACGAAGACGACGGCAAGTGATAAGTGGGCTAAAACGAAATCATTTGAACATTTTAAAGGTCACAGGTTCTTTTAAATGACACATCAGGTCATAAGGTTACCAGCAAAACCCACCAAGGTAGTAGTTTGGCTTTAACTTAAAATTAACTAAAAGAAAGTAGGGGGTAGCGGGCAAACTTTTTAATGGCACTGCATGGATGAAACCAGAAGATTCCGAATGTCTTACAAAAACTCAAACACAAGCGGAACAAACATCTCTAGGGACAAAACGCAAACAATTACCACAATAAGTTTACAGGGTCGAAATCGTCAGTCTTCTTATTGGACTTATTCCCCTTTTATGAGGATTTTACTAAATGTTTGCATGTTTGCCTTATATCTTAAAAATTATCATAAACAGATAGAAGAGAATCGAGATGTTTGTGCTTGATTGGTAGGTGAGGTCATTGGACACATTTGTAAAACTAGATAAAACAGTTAAGACAATACAGAGGAAAACGTCTGACAACTTCTTAATGTATACATTGCCCTTTAATGACAATTTATTATCTTTTTTTGCGTTTTTTCCCTAGAGATGTTTGTTCCGCTTGTGTTTGAGTTTTTGTAAGACATTCGGAATCTTCTGGTTTCATCCATGCAGTGCCATTAAAAAGTTTGCCCGCTACCCCCTACTTTCTTTTAGTTAATTTTAGTTAACATTTAGATAGATACCAATCAAACACAAACATCTCGATTCGTACTTGATCTCTGTCTTGTGGTAATAAGCATTGTGTATAAGATTCATCACATTCGGTCGAAACTTAAGTAAGAGAACGGAAATAAAAAAAAATCAGCAATGTTTCCAATTGTAAAGGGGCATAACTATAGAACGGTAAGAGTAATGCCATCCAAATTCACACTTAAATTAAGAAAGGAAACCAATTTAGGAACGTACGTACGGGCGCATAGACGAACAAGGGTGAAACTTAATGCCCAATCCTCTACAGCAGGGGCATGGAAACAAATTTAGGTTACGAGACATTTCTTTTCAGCTCTTCTTGATCTTATTATTTCTACATTACCCTGTCATTTGGATTAAGTGTTTCCAGGACTGATATGGCAGCTTCTTTGGCTATCTGTAGTAATGTCTTAGAATTATGCAAGGAATTCATGGATCCAGATTTATCAATAACAACCACTACATCCTTCTGAACTGGGGTTGCCGTGGAAACATAAAATGGTCTAAATCAAAAGGATTAACTGATATCATAAATATCTATATAAACCTTACAAGTTATAGGTCAATCTTTACAATTAAGTAGAAGGTTTTGATAATGTCCAAATGCGGCCTTTATTTCTAGCAACACATTCTTCCACTAGAAGCTCTAAAGAGCCTCTATCAATCATATTAGTATACGTACGCGTGCATCGTCAACAATGGTTACTCTCTAATATTGTAGACTAAACAAGAATTCATGACAAAAATCTCTTTTTGTCAATCTTTTATTGCTGATAATTTTGTTCTGTTTATACAATTCCTACCTATCTTCCAAAACACAAAAAATGGTAAAACATAGTCTTTTAACGGCAATCATTTCGACTAAACTTTTTGGCTAAATGTTAATAGTTTTTGCTCTAAATGACATTTGCCACATAAAAGGACCACTATAATTTTTTGTTTATATATGTATTTGAATCATTTACGTCTTTGAATAACAAATTTAATTTGGTCAAAAGGTGTCGTCAATGTTTTTCAGAGGATAATAGACCTTTCGGATGCATAGAAACAGGCAAGCTGACTAAAATCAGGTAAAATATCAAACTTTTCAAGCTGTCAAAATGATTAAAAGAACAGCAGACAGAAAAAGGTTGTTGTTTATTTAAATTTGCATAATTAAGATTATAATAAAAGGTTTTTGCATACGATATTATGAATGTCACATTTAAGAGCCAAATTAAAAAATTAAATGTACTTAGGTGAGGTTTAGGAATTTTTGTCAGATTTTCACACTCATTGTTTTTTTCCGGACGATTCACGGCAAATATTTCCCCCCATGACACTGGTACCCTTTTTTCTTTTCATATAAGACTTCATTTGCTCATAAAAGGTCATTTACATAATATCAGCAGATTCAAGATTTCTTTTCTTTTGCTTTTAGACCGAAATAATACAAAAGCAAATATAAGGTAAAAGTCAGAGTCAGTCTTTTCAAGACATGTTTTTAAAAATAAATATCTCAAAAAGGAGCTCCATAGCCCATTTATATTTTTAGCTTATTTTGTTTCTCAACTATATGCTCTTCTGACTTGTTATATCAATTTTAGATTTTTTTTTTAATTTCACCTTAGTACATCCTTAAGGCCTTTGTGGCCATACTCATTTGACTTATTTGTTGCCAATCTTTTATGTAATCTAAAGTGTCTATCTATCTTTTGAAGTTTTCAAGATAATTGAAGAAATATAAAAAAAAATGTCATCAATATTCAAAAGAAAAGAGTCCCAATAATGAGTCTACTGACAGTTTGAGCCATGTTAAATTTTTTTTTATCTTGATTTGTCAATCATTTTTGCTATTAAAATGTCTATCTATCTATCATGTTTTTCAAGATTATTGGAAAAAACACTAAACATTGGTAAATTTGCCATTAAAGACTTACTCCAATAAGGAGTCAACTGACAATTTCTGCCATCAAACTTATTTGCAGATCTTGTCTTGCTGATTATTTTTGCAATATTATATAGTTTCTCTTTATCTATCACGGTTTTAAGATAATCGTAATTTATTTAAATATTACCCATCTCTAGCTCAGGGGATTAATTTGAAGGTTACATGAATACGGAAACAATGAGGTCGAAATTATTCACTTGCAAGTGAATAATTTTTCAGTGATGTTTCCAAACTTGCTGCTAAAATTGAATTATTATTTCAATATTTCACTTTGATTATTAATTGAACAAAACAAAACATTATTTTTCATTTCTCGTAACTATATATGCCCTATTTAAAGTTGTTTCAAAATAACGAGCTTTTTAAAAGATTATTATAAATTGATAGTATATAAATAAAGGAACTAAAACAGCAGAAAAAATGAAGGGTTCGTGTGCATGTTTTCGAGATATAAGCCATTGAAAATTTGGCGGGAAATAGACTTTTCATACATTTAATATTGGCACACCTTTTCTTCAAAAGAATATGTAAAAATAACAAGGATTTTATAGGATTCTCAAATATGGCTTTTTAAACTATATGTAATAAAATTATGAACAGAAAAGTAAGGGTAAGCAGGGAATTTTTTTTTTAATTGGCACTACATAGATAAAACGACAGGATTCTGAAATTCTGGCAAAAATTCAAAAACAAGAGGAGCGAACATCCGGAATAAAACTTTTATTTTCAAAAAAAAGACTTACTTTCTTTTTATGCTTCAAAGAATGCAATCTTTAGTTTGTACACGAGAAAACAATAAACTAACATCTAAATCTATTTTCAATTTTTTGTTGGGTAGGTGTCTCATTGATTCCAGACCCATATATCAACATAATGATATCAAACATAATCACCTGAATCTTGGATCGTAATTGGAACAATCATTTAGCTTTAAGGATGGATAGTTTAAATAAATTCCATCCTCCTTCCCAAAGTACTGCCATTTAAGGTTTGGATTACGCTCATGGTTTTCTTTCATCACATCTTGTATTTTAGTTGTCGGGAATGTCCGTTCTGGCGAAGAATAGGATGATATTGTGACACAGGCTTGGTTCATGTTAACCTGTCATTAAAATAAAAAAAATAATTTAATTAATTCATTCAGGTTAGATCCATAGGATTGGGAGTTCAGCAGATTATAACTCCCCTTCAAATCTTTTTTTCTTTACATTTGAATAAATTATGTTCGCTGCTCTGTTTTAGAATAACAAGCTTTTTAAAAGACTGTTATGAATTGATAGTATATAAATAAAGGAGATATAAGCCATTGAAAATTTGGCTGGAAATAATTCTCTCTAGACTTTCATACATTTAACATTGGTACCTTTTTTCTTAAAAAAATATGAAAAAATAACAAGGATTTTATAGGATTTTCATAAATAACAAGGATTTTATAGGATTTTCAAATATGACTTTTTTTTTTAACTATATGTCATATAAATATGAAAAGAAAAGTAGGGGTTAGCGAGGACATTTTTTAATGGCACTACATCCCATTGGATGAAACCAGCGGATTCCGAATATCTGGCATAAATTCATAACCAAGAGGAGCGAACATCCTTAAACTATCATAAGTGATTATATAAAAAAAACATTAATTTTGAAAGGCAAAAACAATAAGATATGACTGCAGATATCCATTGATTCTTATCAATACTGTATGATAACAAAGGTAGATTTAGACACTACAATACGTTCAGCTGCAAAGAGGGGCAGTAGGAGGGGGTTTCATCCTTAATTCTTCCCAAAAATACAAAAAATACTTGAGTTTTTTTTTCCTGAACCCTAAAAAACTATCATTAATTCCCGAGTCCAGATTAGTGTTAATCCCAAATTCATGCGAAAATAAAGGCAAAATCCAAACTTCCCGAAAAAAAGTCCTTTAGTACCAAGTTCTTATCTGCTGAACTCCCCATCATATGGATCTGACAATGATTTAAGATTGAATAACTCTGTAAATATTTCATTTTTATCACACAAACCTTTGTTCTGAACTGACTGCTGTAAGTAAGTCCCGTTGCATGACAGCATTGGGGCATTGATGTAAAGCTTGGAAAACTGTCTATGTCCTCTTCAACGGCTTGTTTGATTCTCATCAAAGCTTGAATAGGCCCATCAAATTTGGTACTTAAGGAAGCCGAGATCTGCAAAATATAAACCACTTAGTTGCACTTTACCCCAGGAATAGATTACCTTAGCTGTATTTGGCAAAACTTTTAGGAATTTTGGTTCTCAATGCTCTTCAACTTAGTACTTTATTTGGCCTTTAACTTTTTTGGATTCGAGCGTCACTGATGAGTCTTTTGTAGACGAAACGCGCGTCTGGCGTAAATATAAAATTTAATCCAGGTATCTATGATGAGTTTATTTACATTACATTTGTATTATAATGAAGTATAGGTTGTAATCCTGTAAATATAGACAATGCAATTTCCAATTGGAACTCGTTTTACGGCTAAAACTGTAACACTTTCACTAGGAAGTTTCGTGAAAATTTATATATTCTAGAATGGAAAGCTCATATGCACTACTATTTTTTCAAAGGTCAACATATATGGCTGTGCGGCATACTTTCAACATTTATATGCCCCGAATTTCAAAGAGTTCAAACTTCTGTTCTACCCCTCCCTTCACTTTAAGTCTTCCAGAGATTTCAATTTGGCCAATATTCATATGTATTTATACTGGTAAGATTTCCAAGTTATGAAGATGAAACATAGAGATTATATCTGGGAACCAGTAGGTAAACAAAACAAAATTTATATGAAGATTATATATCTCCCCAAAAGAGGCGTGGTTTGTGAAACAGCTATATTTACAAAGAGCAAACTATAAGGATAGTTAGTTATCTTTAGAAAGCAATTTCCTTTATTGAAGAGGGTCGATAATTTTACTTCAAACGTAATAAAATGGTTAAAATGGTTAGCCTTTAAAGGGGCACTAGCTGTCAAATTCATGTCCACCGATTTGACTCAAATTCTCATATTTGATTTATAACATACTTAAACGTATATCGAAATTACAAAAGGTATGAAATAAACAGTTAACAAAGCATGTAAAATTTTCTCGAATATACTATATATATATAAGAATTTCGTGTGCATTTTAGTCTAGACGCCATCTAATTAACTATCGAGATGACCTCCGAATACTGCCGACGATCACATAACCCGATATAAACATAAAATTTAACATAAATACAAATAGATTGCGACCTCGTGCAATTGGATTTTCATAGGTATGTAAATTTTTATGTTATAGGTTAAAAAATAAGTTAATTAACGTTTTATCCTGAATAAGAATGATTTTTTTGTGGATCGAATCAGTCAACGAATTGGTTCACCTTTGTTTCACTTTCAATGTTGACATTCTTTTCCTTTTAATTGTTGAACACGAATTATGCACGCGTAACCAATGTCTAGCTAATGGGTTAAATTGAAGGTCACATGGATACGGATTTAATGAGGTTAAATCATTCACTTGCAAGTGAATAATTCGTCAGCGATATTTCTTTGCCTATTTTGAAAAAAATTGGACCAAATTGGCTGCTTAAAACGAATTGGTATTTCTTTATTTCACTTTTATTAATGATTTAACCAAAGGAAATCATATTCTATTTTTTTCATATCTCATAGCTAGTTCGCCTTTAAATGAAATCTGATGTTTAACACTATACATTTGTGTGTATGTTTGTGTGTATGTAGGATTTAAAAAATATTGTTTTATGCTGTAAACCAACTTATTTTCAAGGATATCTTGTTTACACGCTTTCTGGAGCCTGTTTCATTATTTTATAATTTTCTTGATGTACTTCTATAAGAAACGATCCAAGTTGTACATAAATCACAACAATTTATTGTTCATGTTATTTTTATATTCCCGCTTTGAAAAATTTGGGGTTATACTGTTTTACCTCTATCTGTCTGTCAGTCCGTCTGTCCGTCCAACGAATATTTTCCGCCGCATCTTTCTCAGGAACTACATCTTAAGGATTTCTGAAATTTAGTTTCAAGGTTTATATAAGTCAGTTATACCGTCTGATGCGTTTTCAGATTCATCACTCAACAACTTCCTGGGCGGGCAGGGTATCGCCAGTGAGCAGTAGCTCGCAGTTTCACTTGTTCTTTCCGTGAACGTTACGGAAAATAAATTGCTCACAAAAATTAGTTGGTTTACAGTATTTAAACACTGAAGATTACCTCTGTTACTAGTCCTTCCCCATCCAATAAAGAGTTCGTGTAACGTAGCCTGCTATAATGTTCCTAAAAAAATTAATAATAAATAGAAGGTAATAAAAAAAACGGTACACCATTTAAGGATGTACTTAGGTGAGGTTTAGGAATTTTTATCAAATGTTCGGACTCTTTGGTTTTTTCCCTATGATACAGGCTAAAATATTTTGCCCCATAACACCCATTAATCTTTTCATAAAAGACTTCAACAGCTCATAAAAGGTCATTTACCAAAATTTAAGTAGATTATAGATTTCTTTTCTTTTGATTTGAGACCCAAATAATACCAATACAAAAATATAAGATAAAAGTCAGCCTTTTCCTGCCATTTTTAAATAATTAAATACATTCGATATATTTTATCTCGAAAAGGAGCTCCACAACCTATCAATATTTTTAGCTTATTTTATTCCTTAACTCAAGCTCTTCTGACTTATAGTATCAGTTTAATATTTTAGATTTTCTTAATGTTACCTAAGTACATCTTTAAACGGTCATTATGTTTGCACCTGTCCTAAGTCAGGAATCTGATGTACAGTAGTTGTCGTCTATTCATGTAGTTCATACGTGTTTCTCGTTTCTCGTTTTTTTATATAGATTAGACCGTTGGTTTTCCCGTTTGAATGGTTTTACACTAGTAATTTTTGGGGCCCTTTATAGCTTGCTGTTCGGTGTGAGCCAATGCTCCGTGTTGAAGGCCGTACCTTGACCTATAATGGTTTACTTTTATAAATTGTTACTTGGATGGAGAGTTGTCTCATTGGCACTCATACCACATCTTCCTATATCTATTAAACTATATTCAAGATGGCATTAATCTTCAGGCAAAAATTTAAGGCACAGATAAATACAATGCAATTCAGTTACAGTAAACAGATCAAAGAAATGAGAGAGAAAAAATAAAAATTTCAAATTGATTAACCAGTGTCAAGGTATATCAAATATACTCCCTGGAACATCTCCCAATCAATCGCAGACAACAAAAAATCATCAATCCACGTGTGCTATTAGCGACCCTTAAGTGCTAATAGAAGAAACTGTTTTTTATCTTTATATAATTTAATTTTGGATGTAACGCGTCTTCTGATTGGCTGACGTTGTTTTGTTTATCAGCTCATAGACATAATTTTGTCATGTGACCGTGACGTCATCAACGTTTTTTCATGGTTTACTCAGGTTTAAAATGGAATTTAGAATTAAATTATAAGAAATGACTGTAATATTTGTAGGTTTTTTTTAATCGCGCAATTTCACTTTTCTGTATTGTGCTGGATATATCATATAGTACATAGATTACAAAAGTAGTTTGAGCAACAATAGTCAATAAAGTGTAAACCATGCAAGAAAGAAACTCGAATGGACCAATCATAATCAAGTTTTAGATGAGAGTACGATTTAGGAGATAACTGTATTGTATTTTAAGCTCCGACGGCATCAATTTATGATTTGATGGTCGCAAATTAAATTCTGCCACCGGAGCTTAAAATACATTATTGTTATCTCCATTCTAATGAAACTGACAGAAAACAACGTCAAATTATACTTTTATATCTATCATACGTCGTCTGCGCTTGAACGTACGTTTTGCATAGTGTTCAAACCAAAAAATTTAAATTATACTTTTCAAGAACATAATGCCAAACTTCCAACCAGGCAAAGAACAATCGATAGACTAAGTCGCAATTGATGCCATGAAAATTGGTGACGTTATCCAATCAAAATGAACGTTACAAACGATGTTGCATAAGAATTATGATTTATTTTGGATATACAAATATTTTCAATAGTCAGTAAAGGGTATAACTTAAACATTTTACTGCAGAAAATAACAGGCATACATGTACCATAATTGTGGGAATTCTGATAGAGTTATCTATCCTGTCATTAATTGCGTTCAAATAACAAGTGTCCGTTATTGTCTAAAGAAACGATGCCTGTAATAACGCCTTTCAGTTTTGTTAATATCTCGGGTGATTTCTATATATTTACATTATTATTTGCCTGCAATGTTCGGCAAAACAACGTGGTTACAATTATACCTTGGTTTCGGTCAATATCGTAGCTTCTACGTAGAGCTAAGTAGATTTTGACTAATGAACGAATATCTAGCCTAGGAGCTAGATAGATGCAGATAGGCCAAAAAATATATATTATCTAGAGAATGAAAACTACATCGGAAAGGTTATTAATAATGACGTCATTTAAATAGACTGGATGCATAGCATACCGTTCAAAAAAGATATACATCTAAGACAACGCGGCTGTATATACTAGCTGCCAGGGTATTGAACGCAACCCAGTTTGATGTATTTTAATGCTAACTTTATCTTTGTTACTATTTTTGACGGTATTTGTTTAATATTTTCACGTATTTTAGCAATTCGCCAATAACACCTCACGCTTAAATGGTTATAAATGATAAATCCTTCATTTTCAGTTATACAATCTACAGTGCATGGGGGGAAAAAACTGAAAACATGTTTACAAACAAGATGGGTCAAGCCAAAAAATAACACCATGCGTGTTACTACAGTTTGAAGTTGTCCCCCCAAAAAACATTGAAAGTGTAATAACAAGCATGTTGTTACTTCAGGCCTGACCCCGACTTGTTTATAAAAACATCTGCGCAGTCAGTGACGTATCCTAAATGCGCAGTAGATTTTATACCTGGGTTGAAGGATTCATCATGTTCATAACCATTTGATCGTAAGGCATCATTGACAATTGCTAAAATAATCCCATATACGTGAAAATATCAAATCAATAGCACTTAAAAAAAAACTAAAATGTGATCCCTCTATAAAAGGGTATTCACTCTATGCAGATATTATTACCATATAGGGGGTTTGGTCCCAACCTGCAAAATACAACAAACTGGTTATCACTGTGTCAACATTGTTTCACCGAATATGGCGCAAATAATAATGTAATCGTATTGAAATCACACGTGGGTGCGTGACTCAGTGGACAAGACCGTTGGATATAGTACTTAAGTAATTAATGTCCCGGGTTCAATCCTGACTCTTGGCGTTGGAACTTTCAGTACATTAAAAGGGTTATTTTCACCCTCCCACACATGCTTCTGGTACCTAGCCCAGAGTTTAAACTAGAATGGGTACTGCAGGGTCCTCGGTAGGTCAACGTGGTACTTCGAGTACTTCGGCTTCATATAATTACAGACTATCCGGTGTTCTAACACTCTCTTGGTGTTGGGTTGGGGATTATCCGTGGTTGTTGGTTGTATAGAAGTTAGTGACACATCTCCATTAATCTTTATAGGGAGTTTACACGGATTCCACTCAGTGTACCATCGCAACTCTCGGGTGGTGCTTCGCATATCGGAGGAATGTACGTACATACACGAGATCTTAACAACAAAATAAACAGCGGTAATTTTGAAAAATTCGGACCTGATTTGCGTTTCACCCGACGAAAATGTCCGGCTGTGATAACTGAAAGGCGTTATAACAGACATTGTTTCTTTGTACAATAACGGCTGTATACATTGTACATGTGATATTTCAACACAAATCATGACAAGAGGAGATAACTCACAGAATTCCCACAATAACTGTATGCCTGTTGTTTTCTGTAATAAAATGTTTAAATTATACCCTTGACCGATAATATTTATAAATGAATACAGATGTGATTAGAACAAAATGAAAACTTGACATTTATTAATTAATGGGTTATTTGGATTAATTTATTTTCGTTGGTACCAATTATCGTGGATTGAGGAACAATATACCTTATCGCTATTTAGTCCAATCCGGAAAAAAACAGTCATTTAGACAACTTCCTGTTTGGGTCAACAGGGAAACAAACAAAGGTCATCAGTAACGAGCTGAGGGAGGGAAAAAATTAGAAAGCGATCAATAGGAAACTTTGATAGATTATGATCCGCTTTTTCGAAACTCAAATTATAGTCAAAAAAATATTTTGTTTGAAGTATTTACGATGTTTTAAACAGGTCTCATAAAAAAGTATCATTCATGGTACATTGTTTAAATAGGGCCCCAGATAGCTTCAACTGTAATTTTAGAACTTATCCGGAATGGAATAAATACGATTAGGTGTATTGTATTTCGGGGGATACTTTATTTTGTAGTTTTGCCAAAGCCATCTGCATACAAGCCTATAGAAAATTTGTACTAAGTTGAATATTAAAATTTGTGGCTCATCTTAACCTGTCAAATGAACGAAAATTGGTATTCCACAGTTTATATTTATTCCAGTCAGTATACTATTTATCGTGGTTTATGCAACAGTCATGATTATAAGTCATTGTAATGCTTAAGGGTCTGAGAAAATCTGCTTGGGCTACCATCTTTTTGAACATATTTCTGAAATTCATATGCAAAATACACTGACTCATAGTGTTCAAACCAACAAATTTAAATTACACTTTTCAAGAACATGATGCCAAACTTCCAACCAGGCAAAGAACAATTGATAGACTAATTGATATGATTGCAAGGGTTGAGCATTCACAAATTCACAAGCTTAACCACATACATTGCATACTTTATTTGGTGGAAATGACTTAAATGAGGATAATATATGGATTAACATATGGATATATCATGAACACATCTGCATCACTCTCCATCCACCCTGTAAAGAATGAAAAAGATACATATTTATCAACATACCTGTACTTTATTAACTCCTAAAGCGTTATTGGCTATGTCTGTAAGAACCTGTGAAAAGCTCCCTCCATCAACATTTACCGCATGGCTTACACTACTTATGCACACTAATATAGTCAATTGTTTGGTTAGGTATAAACCACTTATTTTCATCATGTATATATGTAGCTGACTAATTTATCTGAAAATAGTAAAAAAAACAATACATTTAACTTGTATTTTCAACAAATAAAAAATATACCTAACTTAGGATGACCTATCTAATATTCTCTGTGATACATATATAGATGTCTGATCTCAATGCATCCAATGCAATAAATATAGACATTAAAATAGTATACCTTTTAATTAGAATTGGGCATGAAATTTTTCAGCTTTATCATGTTATTAATCAAAGAAATATCTGTTATGAGAAAAAAACTTAGATATGAGCCATTGTCTAATGGTCTACAGGGGCGGATCCAGACATTTATAAAGGGAAAAGGGGGGGGGGGGGGGGGGTTCCAACTATGTGTCCCCATTCAAATGCATTGATCGTTCAAAAGAGGGGGGTTCCAAGACCAAATGTTAAAATCATTCACGTCAATAGAAGCCAAGAAATCTTCGCCCACACTTTTCATTGTACAATGAGTGTTGTAAAATTTCAAACTATTGGCAAATAGGAAGTGATCACATGACAGATGTAAAAATTGCTGACTAGCTACAACTCAACATTATGAAGCTGCAGATCAAATATTAAATCCTTTCTTTTCAGAGAAGCCAAGAAAACTTTGACGACAGTTTTCTTTTTACGATGAGTGTTGTATAATTTCAAACTATCGAAAAATAAGAAGTTGCTTAACGGCAGATGTAAAAATTGCTTACTCACTACATCTCAACATATAAAACTGCATACCAAATATTAAATCATTCCCTTTTGAAAGTTTTCTTTCTTTCGGACGAACGGACTGACAGAGTTGAGCCATAACTAGACCTGCTCCCGCATTTGACAACGCAGGTAAAAATGTGAAGAAATAAAACAAAACATCAGTTTTTCGATTTTAAAAGATGTGTTGTAAAACATGCTTGCAATTCAGGTAACCGTCATTACAGAATCTGTGGAGGTCAGTTCAAATCCATTTTTCTATGACTCAATATGGATTCAAAACTGAATTTGTGAAACTATATCGAGTAAATATGAAACAATAATAGAAAGTTTTACCCTTAACAAAAGTAAGCGTGGTAACGTCTTCTCACACATAGTGACGACGCTGATACTGTAAACCAACTAAATTATGCGAGCAAGTAGAAAAATAACTCGAATATAAATCGAATCGAATATGTAAGACTTGGATTTTTTCTTAATTAATCTTCATCAAGTAAATTTTAGAATCGCGAAATTAAATCGCCGCGAAATGGGTTAGTAAGGGCTAAACGCGAAATAAAGTATCCGCGAAAATAAGTTGGTTTACAGTAACTTCTCCTCAGACATTGTGATGTTGCTTATGATGTCTGAAAGCATTGATATCAGAATTATGGAGCGACTGTGCAGAATGATATAGGTGAAAGGAAGTACGAAGAAAGCTAATACTGTCATGCATTTTCAAAGGGATCAATCTTATGTACTCAGAAAAGTTGCTAAATCAAAAATATGTTGTTATAAATTGTTCTTTGCAAACTTTTACCAAAAATCTAACTAGTATTAAGATAGCCGTCGATAACAGCCTTCACTTATATTCATGAGCCATCAATAATATTCATGAGATAAATTGCGTTCGATGAAGTGTTGTAAGACACTATCGATTATTATGATAAAATAACTTTTTTTTATAATGTTTGATACAGTTTCAAACAGGCAAGTCCATGGGTGTCTTCTTCGCGGTCCGCGTTTACCTAATCAATTAAAAATGAACTATTAGACTTCTGAAAGGTCTGCGTCTTTCAACTACCTTTGAAATGAAAGAAAATAGACAAGGTTAATGCTTCCATAAACACAGAACCAAGAACTGATCTATTTAAAATTCTGTGAATAGTGAAATAATGTAAACTGAAACAACAATAAATAAAGGTATGATTAAATATAGAAATTTAACGATTACTAAATATAGATACAGAAATTGAACGAAATAGATGAAATATGCATAATTATGCATAATGAAAACGGGACAGTCATCTGGAGAAATTAAATAGAACAGTTCTTATACATATATCTGACTTTTCGAAGTATTTAAATATTTAACAATTATACATTACACGTAAACTGAAAGAAATTAAAACATGTAAAAGGAATTAATTGCCATATGGGCATTCCATAATCTGTTCGCTGTCTACAAATGTAGTCCCATATCAAAAGTACTACATACCGTAAATGCGGTAGTTCATCTTCCATTTTAAACAGACCAGAAAAACTCAATTTTTTTACAATTAAAGAGAAAAGCAGAAGAAAAAAAACAAACAGTAACTTTATCAATGACCTTTCAATATTAAAAACTACAAGGATCAATCAGAGTCTTGACATAATCAAGTTATGAGAATCTATTAGTTTGTCCAGCCGTCAAATGTTTATTTTTACTTTGTGATATATAGGGGTCCCCCATCCTTTGCTGACAAACTCGTGACCCACGTGGAGAATCTTTTAGTTTGTCCAGCCGGAAATAGTTGAAATAGTTAATTGTGACTTTGTGATATACAGGAGTAATCCCCACCCTTTGCTGACAAACTCGTACGGGTCTAAGGCATACGTGCTATGGGCCGCTTTAGAGGCCATTTCTACTTCTTTCTCTGGTATAATGGCCCACGTGGAAAATCTCTTAGTTTGGCCAGCCGGCAATGATTAATTTTGACTTTGTGATATACATTGGAACCCAACTCTTTACTGACAAACTCGTACGGGTCTAGGGCACAAGTGCTATAAGTCATTTTATAAACCATACCTACTTCTATCTCTGGTATAATGGCCAACGTGGAAAATCTCTTAGTTTGGCCAGCCGGCAATAGTAAAGTTACACTATCTGATATACTTGGTACCCCCATCCCACCAACCCTACGCTGACAAACTCGTACGGGTCTTGGGCATAAGTGCTTTGGGTCATTTTAGAGGGCATGTTTACGTCTGAATGGCAATGGCCTGGTAGTGTTGAGAGTAAAGACTCTGATTTATTTCTGTAGTTTTGAAAAATGATGTGTCATGGAAGTAGAAACTGATAGTTTTTATTTTTTTTCCCATTAACTTTAAATCTTCTTGTTTGTCTGATCTGTTTAAAATGTAAGACATGTAGTACTTTTGAGATGGGACTATATATGTAGACAACGAACAGATGGAATGCCCATATGACAATGTATTCCTTTTAATTCCTTTCAGTGTACGTACAATGTATATTTGTTAAATCACTGATGAAAAATATTTAAACACTTCGAGAAGTCAAATATAATTATTTATAAGAACCTTTACCTTTAAATGAGTTCAAACACCAAAACTTTTCATTATGTTACAAATTATATGTAATTATATACTTTTAAAGACGTTTTAGTCAAATATTGTCTATCCTGTTACTATAACCATAGTAACCATAGTAACAAGATAGACATAACAGGATAGACAAATTACATCATTTATGAATGCTGTTGTGAAATAACTACTCCCTTTGATGCAGTGATAATGTCTTTTTTTCTGCTGTGATTTTGGTATCCAACAAGTAATTGCACTATTTACAATTATAATATTGATGTAATTAATAAATTTGTTGGTAACAGCATAGACGCGATAAAAGGGTACCCACTAATTTTTTCACTAAATGTCTTGAATTTTCTTTTCTCCACACTGGTCATGCAAGAAACGTGCTGTGGTATATTTTTAGGATGCTTTGTGCTTTCGAAATTATCTCTAAACAGTTCCATCTCTATAGAGAGAAACACTTTAACAGTTGATCTAGTATCGGTAACGGGGACAGAGATGCATTTTATGTACGCCGATTGAATTAGTGTGTAGAAAAAAAATGTTACATATAATAATATAAAGCTGTGATACTTCATTATTAACATTCTAAAATAGTTCCTTTTGCAGATATCACGGCAATCAAAAAGTAGGAAACAAATCATTTGAAATATGTTGCCCTGACCCTGTATGCACATAAATTTCGCAAAAATCGGACTTAAACATATTTTAATCTTATCAAAATAGATCTTAATAGTGTTAATCATTGACGTTCCGATTCATAAATCCTACAAACTTTCATTTAAACAATTACAACTGCATTTTTAATTAAAAACTAAAATTTAAGTATAAGTGTACTGAAAATTCAACATTTTTTTAAACGACCCATACTTAGCCCCATGAGGGGGAACCGGACACCACCCCCCCCCCCCCCCCCCCTGCCTAAATCTGCCTCTGTTTAGTAATATACATACATACCATTGACTATGTCTGTTGTTATGTCGCAATAAATAATCGTTCTTTTCCAATGTTTTGGAATTTCCATGATGTTTGACAAGTGCGATGAACAACCCGGATACGTACAAATTATTTGTAAACAAATTTTTCCGCGATAGGCTCCAGTAAGTAATTACATTAATGGAAAATAACTCAGTCAAGCTATCAAGCTTCTGCTTTTAAAATCAATACGTGTCACGCGGTCATATCAGGTAAAGAAAAAAATAAAACATGATGATATAGTACAGTGGAAATATTACATGCATATTGGCCGGTATGAAGACAAAACAAGTTTACGTATATTATTGTTTCATTCGAGCTGATTGATAAATCAAAGTACTGATATACTGTTAACTCGTATGAATCCAACATACAATATCTTATATTTTCATCAAAGAAACAAAATCAAAGAAACGTTAATATGCTAATCATTTATATATCAGAGAAATAAATACTTGTATCTTATGTCTCTAATTATATAGCCATCAACTACAAATGCCATTGATTTCAAACTAGAATTTGTTTACCAGTCTAGGAGGCTGAGCGGTCATTTCTCCAATCTAGTTCAATCTAAAATATGAAACTCAGTCAAATCAAATCAAATCAAATAAGTTTTATTTTAAAACGGCAAGTTTACATTAAGCTTTGAACGAGCTGCTTTTGAACCGAAATATATAATAAATTAAAGACATGCATATTATATACAGTGCGTGCAGACAAAATAGGACAACACCAGACATACAATAGTTTACCAATACACAATTGTCACATAAAAGGACAGTCTAGCATAAATGCATATTGAATTAAAGTTAAGCAATCACATACTGTAGCAACTAAAACTAATAGCACTTAATCTTCATTAAAAATATTTTCAAATCAATAGTAGACGACAACGTCACACATAGTATATTAGGAAAAAAGGGGGGGGGGGGGGCGTGTTATCCGGCAACATTGGATTTGGGATACAGAAGTGCAGCTTGGATTTAAAAAAAACATCCCCAATTCATATATCAAAGTCTTGTGAAAATCACACAACGAGCCGTAAATGTACATCATGCCAAAATCGTAACCCATTCATATATTTCTCATTTATTAGATATGTACATTTAAAAAAAAATCTTATAAATACAATGGTGTGGCTTTCTTGTCTACGTCAGACACAAAGACGACTGTGTGAATAACACAGTAATCTGTACCTTGAGCATCGTACCCTAGTGTATGTTGCAGTAGTGAACCCTACACTATTTTCAAAATATATTAATGCAATATATATAATTTGCTGTGAATAATCTTGAACTTTTGTTTAATACCTTTATGTTTCTTTCTCTCCGTAAGGTACGAAGAGGTTTGTTAGAGCTTTTAAGCTTACAATTCAAGAGCATCGTCCTTGTGGTCCAGATGCAGCTACACAATCAAATATTTTTTTAATTTCCAGCCTTTTTTTAACATATAATAACCTCTATAGATAAAAACATTGCATGTTGTAAAAGATTATATTTGAGATATGCATATGCTCCCTCCCTCTGGGGATCTAATTTAGAAAAATAAAATATCTTTTATAATTAATTTGATCCAAAAGGATAAAACAGCTTATACACTGATATCTAATAGAAAGATGAAAACTACTGATCCATGAACATTTTACCTTAGTGAAATTGCAACCCATTGACGAGGATCGTAATGAGAGTACCTTCATGACGAATAACGGTAAAAAAATATTGCCAGATGACGTTAACGGTAATTTTTGGTGCATAAAGATAAAATGTACATTTTCTGTATGACGATAAAAAAAATCGGACTAATTTTGACGAATCTCGTTAAATTCTTTTCAAAATTAACAGTAACGGATAAGTATTTGAGACCCCTGACGAATCCGGATAAGGATATTTTGACGAATCACGATACAATTTTAACCAATTTGACGCTAACGGTAGCCGAAAATGACCGTTTGACGCCTGAAAGTAAAGGGCATTCCTACCCTAATTAATATATTTGACATACCAAAAAGGGACCTATTCCAGAAGCACGTCTGTGTATTACGGTCAAGTTCATAAAGGGAGTCGATTCGTGCAGGCAATGCAACTATTTTGTATTTGGGGGGGGAAAGGGGGGATGCTTAGACCAAAACATAATTGAAGAAAAACTAAAAAAAAGAATTATTAAAGACCTAGCATATATACTACAACGGAGCAAAAATTGAAGAATGAGCATGGGCATCCGAAAAACACATCAGAATACTGCGTGTTTAAATAAACAGAAAAGTCAAATCAAAATGTAAAACTAATTTTCTGGACGCCGGGATCGGCCTATTTTAACAACAGGAAATCGAGATTGACTTGTTTGAAGGTCGGGAATTTGGGAGAGAAATACATCGGGATACGAGGAAAGCCATATGTTTAGCCACGGGAAATTTGGATTTTTATGCTCAAATTTTACAGGATTGACAAAAAAAAATGCTCCTCGGACAGATCAAAGTTGCCACCTTCATTATACTTCAATCAGAATAGGATCTAAAATAACTTTAAGGGGAGTCAACTAAATTTGGTTATTGTACATGTAAGATATATAGTCATTACTTGTAGAATACTAGTTTCCAATTAAGATGGCTGTGCCCTTTAACAGTGAGCAGTTTTTAACGTATGTTTCTAACGAAAGCACGTGCTCTTCATCTTGGAAACAATCGTTTTGAGGGGTCTTCTCAAAAATAATTTTGACGACATTGGAACGCTGGTGTCTGAGAGCACCCTTTCCCGATGTCAACAAGCAGACAAAACTTCCTACAAACAAGCAAATTATACGGTCAAAAATACAGAGTGGTTTGTTAATTTTTCACATAAAATTTTAAAAGGACAAAAATATAAGCATGGTGTTGTGCGTTAAAAAAAAGGACAATTGAAGTATTAACATGTTATACACCCGCCAATTACACAACGTTTAACTGTCAAAGGACAGCTATGTAAATAACTGCATGTCACCGTACGGCCTTCAACACTGAGTAAAACCCATATAGTATTCTATAAAGTAAAATATAGAATTGAGAATGGAAATGGGGAATATGTCAAAGAGACAACAACCCGACCAAAGAGCAGATAACAGCCAAAGGCCACCAATGGGTCTTCAACGCAGCGCGAAAATATAAAGGCATTGGGGATTCATCTGCAAGCTATTAATTTTGCGTATTATATTACATTGTGTCACTGTCATTAAATTATTTTTAATTTGAAATATCTTCTTTATTCGGCATTGGCTATTGTTACCCGCAAAAAGTAACAATTAGAAATAATTATTGTTACTTCCGAATCAGAATAGGATCTAAAATAACATTAAGGGGAGTCAACTAGATTTGGTTATTGTACATGTAAGATATATAGTCATTACTTGTAGAATACTAGTTTCCAATTAAGATGGCTGTGCCCTTTAACAGTGAGCATTTTTAACGTATGTTTCCAACGAAAGCACGTGCTCTTCATCTTGGAAACAATCGTTTTGAGGGGTCTTCTCAAAAATAATTTTGACGACATTGGAACGCTGGTGTCTGAGAGCACCCTTTCCCGATGTCAACAAGCAGGCAAAACTTTCTACAAACAAGCAAATTATACGGTCAAAAATACAGAGTGGTTTGTTAATTTTTCACATAAAATTTTAAAAGGACAAAAATATAAGCATGGTGTTGTGCGTTAAAAAAAAAGGACAATTGAAGTATTAACATGTTATACGTCCGCCAATTACACAACGTTTAACTGTCAAAGGACAGCTATGTAAACAACTGCATGTCACCGTACGGCCTTCAACACTGAGTAAAACCCATATAGTATTCTATAAAGTAAAATATAGAATTGAGAATGGAAATGGGGAATATGTCAAAGAGACAACAACCCGACCAAAGAGCAGATAACAGCCAAAGGCCACCAATGGGTCTTCAACGCAGCGCGAAAATATAAAGGCATTGGGGATTCATCTGCAAGCTATTAATTTTGCGTATTATATTACATTGTGTCACTGTCATTAAATTATTTTTAATTTGAAATATCTTCTTTATTCGGCATTGGCTATTGTTACCCGCAAAAAGTAATAATAAGAAATAATTATTGTTACTTCCGAAACTAATTGCCATGATGTATTTCCGGAGAGGGACCCAATTTCATACGAAAATTGCAGGTAATAATAATTTAGTTTTTTTTTATTGTTACCTGCAGTATTTGTTACCCATAAAATATATAAAAAATGTTTGATTTGTGAGCAATCTGTGATATAGATTTAAACAATTAAATTTTGATGTAAAATCATTAACATGACTAAACTTCTAGATATTCCAGATTAGGTGATGTCGCATCTTACAAAGTCTATTCAAATTATTTTTGCTAAGAATTCCGCTCAAGCCGGTGCTACGGACTTCTTATTATGTATAAATGTTTAAATTATCATTACTATATATGTTGATTAAATGATTTTTTATTCATATAAATGTTTTTCAAATATGTAAACCGAAGACAGTACAAAGTATTCCAATGCTACACACAAAAAAGACATAATTTGCAAATGTAAAAATTTCGCTGGTAACAAAACTACAGGTTATCGTCAAATTCCGTATGAAATTGGGTCCCTCTCCGGAAATACATTTCGGCAATTAGTCTCGGAGGTAACAATAATTATTTCTTATTGTTATTTTTTGCGGGTAACCGTAGCCAGCGCCTTTTAAGTATTGGTCAGATGTTTATTCCGAAGTATGTAAAATATTTTCTCACTGCAAAATTTTTGGTAATAGGTAAGTACTTTTATTTGACAAAGACAGTTTTGAATATTGAAATGTTCAAGCAAAGAATAACATACTTGACAGTCATATCCAACATCTTAATTTCACACATTTATATTCTTTATCAAATCACGGGCACAAACAAGCACTTACAAACAACCACTATCAAAGACTACCAGCTAAAGTGTGTTCATACAGCTGGATGTATAAATACGCAGCCTCGTATGGTAAAATGGTAATGTTTGCCCATATCCAACATGCAATGTACCTTCATTAACCAGTGGCAGTCCACATATCTCGCCCTTCCTACTTTTTATGCC